TAAGAGCAAGTTTACTGAAATATGCTTGCCAGAGTAAAAAAAGGAGTGGCCATTTGGGGGGAATGGTGATTATCATCATCAAATCTCAATTGCCATTGTTATATAAGTCATCATTATTACATATATCTTAGGAAGAGAGTAAACAATGTCAATTTAATTGTAAGATGCCTTTGATTTTAACACAAACTCTGCTTTTATTTATTTATGTATTTATTTTTGAGACGGGGTCTCATTGTGGTTCAGGCTGATCTTGAACTTACTGTGCAGCCCCTGCTGGCCTTGAACTCACTGTGATCCTCCTGGCTCAGCTTCCCAAGTGTTGGGATTACAGGCATGCACCACCACATCTGGCATAAACCTTGATTTTAAAGCTCTTAGTGCAGAGCTGGGGATGTAGCTCAGCAGCACAGCCCCTGCTTGACAATTGTGAGCCCTGAGTTCAATTGCCAGTACCAAAAAAAGAGATCTTAGTGCATCTTGGAATTGATAAAAACAATAATACCAGCTGGGTGTGGTGGCACACACCTGTAATCTCAGCACTCCATAGGGGAGGCAAGAGAATCTCTGTGAGTTAAAGGTCTAGGCCTAGGCTATATAATGAGTTCAAGGCCAGCCTGAACTACATCGTGAGATCCTGTCTCAAAAAACAAAAACAAAACAGAGCAAAAAACCCACAGTAGGCCCAGGAAATTAGCTCAGTGGCACCCTGCCTGCCTTACAAGCCCAAGGTCTGAGTTTGATCCCCGGTACCAAAAAAAACAAACAAACCCCACAATAAGACCAAGAAAATAGGAAGAAGCTTATGGTTTATAAGGTGAACTAATTACAATAGAAATTCTTCAGTTCCCTCTCATTAGACCATTTGAATATTAATAATTATTGTTGTTATTCTAGATATTTTTCATGTCTTTGAGATGGTTTGGAAATAGTAGATGTGAAGTTGAAAACTATACATATGCACACAGTGTGTATATGTCTGTTTTATGCTTTTCCAAATATAACTATACTTCATGGCTTTTAGAAATGGCAGGGAAACTCCTTAGAGTCATAGGGTGAGGTATTCTGTTAAGAACAGGTTTTAGTGAAGTTGTTAGTGAGTGGGTGGGGGTGGGAGGTGAGCACACCCAGACTGTATGCAGTTAAGGTTGTAAGTGGTATCGGCTTTTGTGCTTATAAAAATTACAAAAGTATTTGTTTTTAGTAGGGTGAATATCAGTACTCCTTCTGAAGTGTTGGTCATTTATTTTGTGGCATTGGAATTGAGCCTTTTGCTGAGCTTGGAATATAGCACCATTTCTTCTTTTCTTCGTAGTTCAAGGGGCCTTGATCCTTGCAGAGCTGCTTTCTGCAGTCAAACGCTCTCTGGCTCGAACCCTGGTCATCATAGTCAGTCTCGGATATGGCATAGTCAAGTGAGTATGGATTTCCTCTATGAGAGAGCTAATTAAAATACTGACAGAATTGAAACACTGTTTCACATTCCCAGTGTCATAATTCTGGAAGAGTTGATAATCTAGAAGTCATTCTCAGAAAAGTTATTTGAAATTTTGTAGCATTGTAAGTGTCAGGAAAATTTGCTGGTTCACGCAAGGCACATCTGCAGGAAGACCTGCAATATAGCGAATAATGTCGAAACACTAGAATAAATTTAAGTGACTTTTCCAAAATATTTTCAAATCAAGACTTTTTATAGGAATAGCACAGCTATCTGAAAAGTTTTTTTCCAGAAAAATTTTATTGAGTCCCCCGTGTATGTTAGGCGTTGTTCTAGGTACTGAGTAAACAGAAAGTAAAAAATTTCAGTTTACATTTGTAGTTTTATGCAGACATAATTGAATATATATCAGCAAAAGGTGCTGGGGAGCAGAGAAAGCAAAGTAAGTTGACTAGGAGTGCTAGGCAGGGCCTGGCGCTCACAATTCAATAGGGATGTCAAGGAAAGTGACATTTAAGCAGAGACCTCAAGGCAGAGCTGAGATGTGATCATATCCTGAATGTGCTTTGAAGGTTAGAGCCAGTGGAATGTCTTGGTGAATGAAATGTATAATGTGAAAGACAGTAGGAGCAAAGGATGAAGCTGTTAGGTCTGATCAAGTTTCAGGAAGAAATTGACATTTACAGGGTTCAGAAAGCACCTGGGTGGCGTAGATTTGGGTAGGACAGGATTAGGAGTTCAGCTGAATATCCACATGGAAGAGGTAAGGGAGAAAGGTTGGAGCAGAGATAGTATGTTTAGGCATTGTCAAGATTTACATGTTGTTTAAAGACATGAGACTGAATTTGATCACCAAGAAAGTGAATGTTTATAGAGAAGAGGTCCAAAGACTGGGCTCTTGAACATTTTCTATTATTTAGAAGTCAGTGACATGAAATAGAGCTAGCAGAGGAAATCAAAGATCAAACAGTGTGGTAAGAGGTGAATTGAAGATTGTGTTCTAAGAAGGAGTGATTGTGTCAGGTGCTGCAGATAGGTTGTGTAAGGTGATTGAGAAGTACTCATGTGACTTCATTGGATGTTAATTGTGTTAGTGGCTGGAACAAGAAAAGTTCCGATGAAGTGCTGGGGACAGAAGTCCAACTGGAGAGAATCAACAGAGAGTAAGAGGAGAGAATTGGAGTTAGATATATAGTTATCTCAAGGAGTTTACCCTTAAGTGGGATTAGAGCAATGCCAAAGAGTAGTGTTAATTCTTAAAATACATTTATTCACTTAACAAATATTTAAGTGCTTCCAGTATGCCAGGAAATATTCAGAGTATCTGGGATTTAATAGCAGAGGGAAATTTTCCATGCACTTACAAAGTTTGCTTTTTTTGGGCTATAATGAAAAAGGAAGAAGTGGGGGAGAAAAAGGTTTAGACAGGTGTGAGTTAAGCCAGTGCATTTCATTTCAGATTGTACTACACTAATGAATCACCTGGGAATTTTGTTAAAATGTAGATTGTGGTTCAATAGGACTTCAGTGTGTGTGTGTGTGCGTGTGTGTGTGTGTGTGTGTGCGCGCATGCATGCATGTGTATGTGCCTAGGATTGAACCCAGAGCCTCACACTTTCTAGGCAAGTGCTCTACCCCTGAACTACATCCCCAGCTCCTTTTTATTTTATTTTTTAAAATTTGGAGATAAGATCTAGTTATGTTGTCCAGGTTTTGATCCTCCTGGCTCAGCCTCTGGAGTAGCCATGCCTGGCTAAGATTTTTTAAATTAAGGATCTAACACTTCTTTCAAAGCAAAGTTGCTCAAAAAGCTTTTCATATATCATATCACTGGGCTTTGAGCTTCCAAATGCACCGTTTAATGAACTTCAGTAGGATATTTGATTATATTAAGGAATTACTAACATTTTTTAGATTTGGTAATGGTATTATAGTATATTTTTTAAAGCCCTGATTTGTTAAAAACACATACTGGAGGGCTGTGGATTTAGCTCAGTGGTGCCACCGCCTGCCTCGCAAACACAAGGCCCTGAGTTCGATCCCCAGTACCAAAAAAAGAGGAGAAAACACATATTGGAACATATACAAATACAGGATATGGTATGTAGCACTTGATTCTAGGTAATGTGAAAGGTTGGAAAAGAATGGGGTGTACGTGAACTAACCATAGGGTGGTAGTTGTCCAGACTAGATGATGCATTTGTTTATAGGGTTTGTCATACTGCTTTTGAGTGTGTTTCAAAACTCTGTAATAAATTTTTTCTTAAAGATGTGTAAGATGTATAACCAGGGGCTAGGTAGTAAGTTCTAATACTTTCTCTCTTTTTTTTTTTTGGCAGTGCTAGGGATTGAACCCAGGGTCTTGTGTGTGGTAGGCAAGTGCTTTACCACTGAACTACGTCCTCAGCCCTTTTTATCATTTAAAAATTTTTAGGCAGTGTCTCTAAATTGTCCAGGCTGACTTTGACTTTGTGGTCCTGCCTCAGCTTCCTGAGTAGCTGGGATTACAGGAGTGAACTACTATGTCTGGCTCCCCTGTGTTCTTCTCAGCTGAATTGTGTGTGTGTTACCACAAACCTGTACTAGTGTAAGTCATTGTTACTTAGCTTGTCATGAGTTTCACTGCGTATGTGCTCACTCAGTATCTCTTTGCTTCCTCTTTAGGCCTCGCCTTGGCGTCACTCTTCACAAGGTGGTGGTGGCAGGAGCTCTCTATCTTTTGTTTTCTGGCATGGAAGGAGTCCTCAGAGTTACTGGGGTCAGTACTGCTCAGCCTGAATTTTTGTGGTCAATTCAATTCTCTTGGTTCTGTCTTGAGAGGCTGCATTGGAAGTGTCAGTAGCCTTCTTTTGAGGCAAGCGCCAGAACCACTGAGCTAAATCCCTGGCCGTCAGTGGCCTTCTTTACTGTTGCTTTACCACCTCAGAGCTCTGATTTTCAAAATGTATGTACAGGTTAAGTATTTTATTTATTTATTTATTTATTTAATTTATTTATTTGGTACTGGGGATCGAACTCAGGCACTTGTGAGGCTGGTGCCAGAACCACTGAGCTAAATCCCCAGCCCCCTTTTATTTATTTTTGACATTTTAAAAAAGTAGTACAGGTTTGCAGTATGTAGTGATTACATTCATCGTGTGGAGTTGGTACATGTACACATGATACATCCTAATTCTTTTTACACCCCCTTCCCACCTCCTTCCCTCCCTCCAGAATATCCCTTTTCTGAGATGCTTGGGACCAGAAGTGTTTCAGATTTCAGAATTTTCAGGTTTTGTAATATTTGCATAGGTTTTACTAATTGAATGTTCCTAATCCAGAAATCTGAAATCCAGAGTGGTCTGAAATCTGAAACTGTTTGAGTGCCACAGATTTGGAGTTTTTGTTTTTTGTTGTTGTTTTGTTTTTTGTAGTTCAGGCTGGCCCTGAACTCACTATGTAGCCCAGGCTGGGTTTGAACTCATGGCAGTCCTCCTGCCTCAGCCTCCTGAGTGCTGAGATTACAGGCATGTGCTTCCATGCCCAGCTAGATTTGGGGTTTTGAATTAGGGAATGCTTAACCTGTGTTATTCATTTTTTCTTTTTAATCTGCCTTGTAGGACTTTATAAATTTAATGTGTGATGGAGAATAAATGTTTTTCCACCTGTCTCCAGACTCCAGATAATTATTTAGTTTCTTCTCCCAGGCAGTGGACTCCATTGTTGAATAAGAATGGAACATTGGAAGTAGGGGCTTACTGGTTAATCTAAAGTATCAGTGCTCTTTGCTTATCTAGCACTTGAGTTTTTAAAACTTCCTTAAAATGCAGCTAATTCAATTTCACACTATCCTTGAGAATTATATTCCTTTTGCTAAGGAAGGAAAACAAAACACTGAGATCTAAGTGGTAAAGTATGTTAGAAGTGGATTAATGTGGAGAAATAGGCCTCCCTGGGCCATTCCAATTAGTATTTTATTTGTCTAAAAATCAGATTCTGCAATAACCTCTTAGATTCAAGTTGGTAAATTCTGTAAACTTGGCTTTGCCCTCAATATTGTGTTCATTAAGCTTTGTTTTGTTTTGTTTGAGACAGTGTCTCACTATGTAGTTCAGGCTGGCCTTGAACTCAGTGTATAGCTCAGGCTGGCCTCGAACTTGCTGTGGTTCTCCTGCCTCAGCCTCTTGCATGCTGGAATTACAGGTGTGCACCACTATAGATCATTAAGTTTTGCAATAAATTTCCCCATAATTAAAACACTTTGGGATTGCAGATTTGTTTTTCAAACCACACTGTCCTCTGTATGTAATCTCCTTAGACTTTGAGCATCTTTAACCCTCTTGTTAATTTTTTTTCCTTTCTTCTGCTGCTGCTGTAGTATTTTTCTAATTCTTTGGCTTCGATACTAAGCCTGGCCCTCTCAGCAACTGATGCCTGTATTATTTTATGGATATCCTTTCAATAATATCTTGGTGATTACATTATTTGGATTACATAAAAAGCATCATATATAAATTTTTGGAGGTTAGCAAGTAGTTTTGGGGACAGTTGACTTACATTTTATTTTAAGGTGAACTGTTGGTAAAATTTCATTTTATTATGGTTTGAGAAATCAATTCTTTGTATATTAATGTCAATACAGTAATCAGAAGCATCTTATTAGGCTTGTAGTCTACATCACAATAATAGGAAGTGAGGATGGGATGGAGGTTATAATCAGAACTTTTTTTGATGTCGCGTCACCTCTTACATGGATCTTAGTATTCCAGGAACTCTGGTAATTAGCAGTTTCATTGTATTGAGATTATAATTACAATTTGTGTGAAAAACTTAAATAGCTATATGTTCTAGGGGAAGGCTCAGAAAAAGGGAAGAATGGTTAGGTGTCAGGTGTTAGTCCTTTGTATATTTCTTTCAGTTCAAATGCAGAGCTATTCCAGATGATTATGTAAATATAGAATCTTGTGCTGCTTTCTTCTGTGTGCCTTTCTAGCAATCTGTTTTTACCACCTCTTTTTCTTTGCCTGCAGGCCCAGACTGATCTTGCTTCCTTGGCCTTTATCCCCTTGGCTTTTCTAGACACCGCCCTGTGCTGGTGGATATCCTTCTCATTGGCTTGTTTGATGTGCTCCATTTTCTCCCCTTGGAGATGGGTTTTTGTTAATCTTTCTGAAGAATTTTTCCCAGTTTTGTTGATGTCCCCTTGATGTGGGAAATACTGTATGATTTTTTTTTTTTTCTTTGGTACTGGGGATTGAACTCAGGTCCTTGCACTTGCAGGGCAGGTGGCAGAACCACTGAGCTAAATCTCTGGCCCAATACTATATGATTTTTTAAAATTTAACAACTTGAGGGTTCAGGTAAGCAATTTTTGTTTCAACTTTTAGAATCAAGAGTTGGTGACTATGGACTGCGTGCAAGTTAAGTCTTCTGGCTTTTCTCTTACATGAGCACTTCACCTTGATTTTTGATTTGTTACGTTTGTACCTGACTTTGGTGGTTACTCTGATTCTGCTCTGTTTAGCCTCTAGGGGTTACTAAGGGCTTTGAAAGTTATGAAAAGACGTTGATCCCTGAAGTGTGGTTTGGTTCTTTTGAAACTCTTCTGTAGGTTTATGGGTTTTAATCTTTATAGGGCGTATGCTGCTTATTCAAAAGCTGACCTGGAGTTGTCTGGACACTGCCACTCAGCAGTAAATACAGATCCATTTGCATGCAAAGTCAGCTGCTGATAAACAAGTTTCTATTTCAATAATCTTTTTTCTCCCACTTTGAAAATTAAACACCTGTTTACTAGAGACTTGGTCTGTTATGTGAAGGATTCAGTTTTTTGAACTTTATCTTTTTAGGGTTATTTTAAATTTGTTTTGGTTTCTATATGTGCAGTATTACTGTCTTGATTATAAGTAACTTGATTTAAAAGTTGGGAATTTGAATAGATTGCCAGATAGCAAAAACATTTGTAATTGAAATGTCCTGGATCCAAATGACTAAAGCTTTCTAGATCAGTCCTTTTCAAGTATGTTTTGTGAAAGTCTGTGAGTAATTGGGAGGTGATATTGGTTAACTGCAAAGGTTAACTGCAGACAGAGTAAGTGCCAACTCCCTTATTTTTCTATCTTGTCTTTACTCTGAAAGCTGCACGTGAGAACAGTCGTCAGTACTCCTGTCCTCTGGCAAGTTGCCCTTGGGAATAATGTTCTGAAATGAGTCATTGCTTTTGGAGCCTAACTACTTGGGATTCTCAGTTGGTCATAGGGTTCTCTTGGTTCACAGCAGAGTAATGTAGGAGGGAGGAGACTGAGAACAGACCTTTGTAAGACTAGAGGCGTGAATGTAGTGATGATCCTAGAATGGATTAGCTGGTGGGTGAATAGTCATCCACCATCAGGACAGAAGATATTCATTCCTTCTTCCCTCCCTTTTGACTCATTTTTACTTTTATCACCTTCCAGTTGTCTAATATTTTTTATCATTTTTGGTTTTCTAGAAAGCTGCTTTTTTGTTTTCTTTTTAATATTTTTCCTTTACTTTTTACATTCTTTTTTTTTAATGGTAGCAAAGTTTTATTAAAAGTAGGAAAAGAAACAGACTCTGCAGAGCAAATTTGGGCCGAGTAAAAGGAAAAAAAGTTACACCCCACAGCGTGAGGATGGGCCATGTATGTGTAAGAGAGAACACAGGGGCTGCACTCTTACTTTATCTTGGTCCTGTCTTCTCAGTGCCTATTGAAAATGGTGACCTTTTCTTTAATCTCGCCGAGGTTGGAATGTTTGTGAGACTGAGTGAGAGTAAGAGCCGGGAGGCCTCTGAGACCCAGAGCTTTGTCGCTGTGACCCCAGACCCTAAAGGAACCTGAGCATTCATTTACTTATCTTTCTCAATGTTTGATTCCTTGACCTGCAAACACATATTTATTAGCCTAACTCAAACAATGAAGCTGTTAAAACTTCGAAGGAACGTTGTAAAGCTTTCGTTGTACCGGCATTTTACCAATACACTCATCTTGGCAGTGGCAGGTAAGTCTGCGACTTTATGTTGTTTAATTTTGATTCTGTGCTTCTTTTAGAGACAGCTTCTAACCTGGGAGACCTTGGCTATGCATAGAGCACCCTCTACATTGCACTTGGGGAAAGTGTTCTTGGCTCTTGTCAAATCTCAAAAGTATCTGTGGTCTTAAAAAAATGATTAAGAACCTCTTATTTTAAGCATACCAGGTGAAAATAGACCTCATACAGTTTCAGCTCCAAGTGTTTCCCTCTCCTGGCTCCATTTTTTTCCTTTGGTATTCTTTTTCTTGAAACAAGCTGAGTGGCAAATAGCATTTAGAATCCTTTTAGAAGACATAACAACATGCATATTTGATTTTATTTTTTTCACTTTTAATTTGAAAATTTTTTACTGGTGCTGGGGATTGAACGCAAGGTCTTGTGGATGCTAAATGAGTGTTTTACCACTGAGATATAACCACACTATCCCCTTACTTGGTTTTATTAAGAGGCTATAGGATTTTAGGTTTGGATAGTGCTTTTTCATGACATTAAGAATACATAAAATGCAGATATTAGGTAGACTGTAACCAGAATAGGCTAATATGTCTACCTCATGGGCTTTGTACCAGGTATAGTGAGGTCTGACCTATGATTGGAAACAGCTCTTCTGTTTGTGTTAGTCATTTTATTAATCATTTTTTATCTGACCAACCAATAAAAAATTAACATCACTGCTATAAGGTAAAAATTATATTAATAGTGCCAGAAAAAGCCTCATCTCTAGTAGTTTCTTTTCCAATTCTGAGGATTAGTGGAATAGCTAGATAGTAAATAAAATTATTAGGAAACTATTTCTAATTACAGAAAGGGTTGACTAAAACAGATACCATGGGCTCTTGCTTTTAGCAGGTGTTCAGGAAATTTATATCGAATGTATTTGTGAAAATAACTGATGGAAAATAATTGTGATGTGTTGAGGTTTATAGGGATGTATAGAATTCCACTTAACCAAGATCAGGGAATGTACAGCCAAAATTCATGTTCTGACCAATTTTTTCATTGCATTTTAGCATCTATTGTGTTTATCATCTGGACCACCATGAAGTTCAGGATAGTGACTTGTCAGTCGGTAAGTTATAAGCGCATACCCTCATAAGTAGTGTTCTGTTGCACACAAGATGATGGTGTATGGCAGTGTTTATATTCTTCTGGTGAGTAAGAAATGAGGCTAGATCTCTACACTGAGGGTTATAGCACTTATTTTCTCTAAGTGTTATTTATGTGCTATCGTGGTGCATGGCATAATTGGATTTTATTTGTTTTTGTTTGTTTGCTTTGCAGTGCTGGGATTCAAATCTAGGGCTTTGTGGATGCTAGTCAAGCTCGCTTCCACAGGGACATACCCCTGACCCCTGTTTGTTTATTTGGCTATGTATTACAACATTGGGAGAGAATTGTGTGAGTGATGACTGTATTCTGTCACAACCTAGGGTTGGCTTAACTGAAAATCTCATACAAGCTGGGGTTTGGGGTACACACCTGTAAACCCAGGTACTTGGGAGGCTGAGGTAGGAGGGTCACAAGTTCGAATCCAATCTGAGCAACTTAGTGATTTAGTGAGACTCTTGTCTCTAAAAAAAAACATTTTAAAGGGCTGGGACTGTAGCTCAGTGTGAAGACCCTGGGTTCAATCCCCCAGTCCTGAGAAGGTGGGGGCTCAAAGAAGAAGTCCAGTGTACTGAACTTCAGGTGAGTGTGAATACTATTAATCTGAGTAGGAGCCATGTTTTTTTTTTTTTTGGTACCAGGGATCGAACTTGGGACCTTGTGCTTGCGGAGGCAGGTGGCAAAACCACTGAGCTATCCCTGGCCCCTAGAAGCCATATCTTTAAGATCTTTGTATAAAGATTGTGGTCAATAGGATTTTTCTGGAGGAAGTTAAAGCTCTATTTTGGTCAAAATAAATGGAAATGAAAATGAAGAAATATAACAAGCTCATGTTACTTTCTCTTACCTCGTTTAAAACTCTGCCCTAAAGAGTCTCAGAGATGTAGTGAAGCTCTAACAAGTGCTGTGTTCAGATGGTGCCTTTTCTTTAACCAACACCAAGCACTATGAGGGAGGAGTCTACATTCATTCACTTTATGTCCCCAGCACTGAGCACAGTGCCTGGCGTACAGTGTGTTCACAGGAAATAAAATTTGTGTGCGTAAATGGTTCTTGTTCTGTGGCAAGGAACTGGTGAGGAAAGATTAAATAATACAGATACATGTGCTTTCCCCCTTATTGTAGGACTGGCGGGAGCTGTGGGTGGATGATGCCATCTGGCGGTTGCTGTTCTCCATGATCCTCTTTGTCATCATGATTCTCTGGCGTCCATCAGCAAATAACCAAAGGTTCTTGGACCCTTCTTCTTTATTCTGCTAACCATTAAACAGCCATGTCAGTTAGGGGTGGTTAAGGGGATGTGTCAGCGCAGTGTTGTATAGTGGAAGGACCACTTGGTATGGAATCAGTTGAATTGGGTTTCTCTCTCAGCTCTCCTCTTAACTTGCTTTGTAATTTTTGCCATGCTATCTTTTCACTTCTTTAGGCCTTAGTTTTGCTTTGTTTTGGTATGAGAGAATTAAGTGATATGAGGTACTTTTCAATTCTGACATTTTCTGATAATACAGATAATTAGGTAGATAAATAGGAGAGGTAGATGTATTGTGTCATTAGTAATGAGAGTCTCTAGAGTCTAGCGTCCAGAAGGAAAGAAAAATTTCTGTGAGCCTAGCCCAGCTTACTTTTTATAAAGATACACTTGGTAAAATGAAAACTTGGGTGACTTGAATTTGATTTTTCCATAGGCAAATCTCAGATCTCTATTTAGGACCTACCTGTGTATTTTGTGGCTATTCATTGCTTTGTATCCCTGCTTTTTTCTCCCTCCTCTTGTATTTAGACAGTTAGGAGCTTAAACAACTATCCCAACAAAGAAGGAAAAGGTTAATATGGCTTAACTGAACAGCTGATTTTATAATCAGACATACTAATAAAAGATAAGAAAGAAAATAGATGAAAATAGCTTTGTTCTCTTTTCAAACTAAGCACTTAGTCTGAATTCATTGGTGGGGGGAGGGAGTCAAGCAATACAGAAAAGCCATGAAAGAAAATAAAGGAGATCTGAAATCATACTTGTTCAGAAAAAAATCCTATAGACATTCTTTCCATATCTATCAGTTGATCTACGAGTTAGTTGCTGGCTGTATTTTATTTAAAATGTTTCCCTTCCTTGGTTAAAAAAATTTTGTTTCTATTTCCTTTTTCCCTCCATTCCTTCCTTCTTGCTCTTTTAGAACATTGCCCCCATTCCCCATGACTTCATTGTTAACGTCTTAATGTGGTATATCCTTCTGCATTTTATTTCCTGTTCACCTGAACATTACATTGGGGAGATTGATTTCAGGGTAGCCTGTTTTAAATTGAAGTCGGATGTTTTTGTGGATAGCATGATATTTCATGGTTTACCTGGAATTATAGTTAAATTAACTTGTTCATTAATGAGCGTCTGGGCTGTTTCCAGTTTGGGGACCACTCATATGCTTAATAATTCACTAGAAGGAATCATGGCACTCAGTATATAGTTGTCCTTACAACTATTTATTGCAACAAAATGATAGAATCAGCAAGCTGAAAAGTCACAAGTAGAGTCTGCAGAAACTATATTTTCTTCCCCTTATATTCTTTCCCTCCCCTGGGGAAATATGTTAGATGTGCCCTTTTTCCCAGCCACAGAAACACTCTTAACATGAGCATAGTTTCTGACCAGGGAGGCTGATTTACTCAGTAATTGAAGTTCTTAGTGAGGGCTGGTTGAGTAAGCACTTTGCCTAGGACATAGGAAAACTGTTTTCCCAGGAGGAAAGCGAGTGTTTGTTGTAAATTGCATCGCACAAACAGCTCACGCACACTGCTCCCTGTGTCAGTTAGGGAACAGTCAGAGTTCCAGGTAGCAGCCATGGGGCAGTCTTGCAAGTCGGCCTTTCTAAAGGCCTGTTAGTTAATTCTTTTATGTATGTGGTGGATTAAAAATAGGATAAAGTACAATAATGTAAACACCCTGTAAATCTATTCTTAGGCCCTCTAGTATCCCTTGCCCCACCCCCATGGCACTTACTATATTCTAAATCTTACATATCTTTTACTGTATTGGTTAATGTCTGCCTTCTTCTCCCACCCCCCAGAAAATCCCCAAACCAGAAAAATCTCAAATGTGAAGTCCATAAAGACAACTCTTCCTAAGTACAGTTAGTTAAATTGCAGAATCTTACAAGAGTCTTCACAAGACTGCCTGCACTTCTGACGTTAACTGTAGATTCACTGGTTTCCAAAAGTATCGTCAGGTTTGATAATTCACCAGAAAGACTCGTAGAACTCACTGAAAGCTGTCACATGCTTATGACAGTGGTACAAACTAAAATAAACCCAGGCAACTTGTAGGACAGAGTCTGGAGGGACTCAAAAGTAGAGCTTCTCGGGCTGGGGATTTAGCTCAGTGGTTTCACCTCCAGCTGCGCAAGCGCAAGGACCTGAGTTCTATCCCCTGTACCAAAAAAAAAAAAAGAGCTTCTCTGTCATGTCTGTGCAGTCGCAGTGTGCCTTCTCCCAGCCAGACCTGTGACTCTGTAGAACATTGCCACCTAGGGAAACTCACGTGAACCTGAGGCGTCTAGTCTTTACTGGGGCTGTTTCATCCTGCTTGTGTGGCTGACCTTTCATTTCCAACTCTTCCTGGTCGAGCTAATGGGTTCAGTCTCCATTTCTTCCATAGGTCAGAACTAGTATGGCCTCTATAAACTACACTAGTATAGCCTTATAAACTACACTCTCACTTTCTGGCAGCCTGCAGGGAAATAGAGACATTCCCGTCAGGCAGGACATACCAGAAGCTTAGCTATGCTTCCCAGTGCTCAAGGGCACAAGCCGGAATTCTTTTTGGGTGAGGTTGATGTTTTCATTATGTAGGGTGCTCCCTGGCTTTCTGCTGGTGCTTTCTCAGTGCAAGTGTTATATTTGTCTCTGTTTAATGCTCCAGTATTTATGTGACAGACCACAACAGTAATTGATTTTGCCTGATATTTGGAGGAGCCAGTATGTGGTAGAGATGGATTTAAACTAAGAGCTAATTTGTTTTCCAAAGCCATTACATACATTTTTATATTTTATACAGAGTTATTTATGTGCTTACTCCCTTGATCTACCAGTCTGTGAACCTACAATAACTTGTTCAAGACCCTGTAGCATAAAAATTGATGGTTAGGCTAACCTTTTCTATCATGTTTAGAGCCTGAAGAGTCTTTAACTCAATATCCCAGTACATTTGATTATCATATTGTCATAAGGCTTATTTACATGACGAAATTAAATCTAAGCAACAGTGCCAGTGTGAAGCCATACCAAAGTACAGTAATAATATAATTCTGTTAGAATTATAGAGATACTTGCTCTGCCTTTCTAACAGAATTGACCCTTGCTCATGTACCAGATGTAATTTCCTATTTATTTATTTTTTTTGGTACCAGGGATCAAACTTGGGACCTTGTGCTTGCAAGGCAGGCAGCGTAACCTCTGAGCTAAATTCCCAGCCCTGTACCAGATGTTATTATGGACAAGCATCATGGCAGTTGGCCATGATTTGCTGTTTAGGTTCCACTTTGGTTGGGAACAAAGCCGGATATCCTATCAGTTCACTGGCTAATACTGAGTCTGTTTTCCATTGTGTGGTATTATATAGTAGGGCCTGCCCCCATCCTATGGGGAGCACAGTGGTGATCACTCTTTGGTTTGAGATCCAGGCAGTTGCATTTGCTCACAGGCTTTTGTTGGAAACCGCAGTGTGTATTCCACCTGAGACTCTTGTATAGTGAAATGTCTGTATCAGCATTTTAGCTTCTTTTCTTATACCTTTTAGAAATCAGTGCCCTGTGTGGGCTTGGGTGGCCTCATTGGTTCCATTCAGCATGTCCAGTCCATGTGGACAGAGGGCAGATTTATATTCCTTGTGATTTATGATAGTAGGGCAGGGAAGAGGTCCCCACTCAGACATAGTATCTATCCTCAAAATAGAAAAGCTACAACTACATTGCAGAGAGTCCATCCAGATATTTCAGGGCTCATCCCAACCTGTACCTTCATCCTATCAACCATTATGTTCAAACAGCCTCCCAGACTAACTATAGTTTTGTTAGGACTTTATCTACAGGTTTTTGTTTTACAGTGTTAGCTAGGGAAGGTGTTCCCCAGTCAAACATCGCTATTTCTTTCTTTTTTTTTTTTTCATGTAGTAAGTTTACAGATACAGCTACTTCTGTAATACCTTTGGGTAAAGGAAAGACAGTCACTGCACATAAAACCTGTTTAAATGAACCAGTTTTCATCTGAAGACTTACCTTAATCCTACAACCTTGCACTTCTGTATCCTACCAGTCTCACTGTAACCCCAAACCAGCTTCAACAAGGGGTTTTAGTGGCACTGTGCCTGGGGTTCCCACGTCAAAATGGCTTAGGGACACTTGTTCTCCACTCCTTGGCCGTTTTACCCACTAATGCTGTTATTGGAGGTCCATCAATCCTCTGACTCCCTAGAAAGGGGTATGGCAAGGGCTAAAGAAAAAAAGACAATAGAGACTTTCATAGTTTCAAAATACATGGGTGGGGCTGGAAGGTCATTGCCTCAGAGCAGGCAAAGACAAAGATACTCGGAACTCACCACTATTTATTGGGTTCATAGGGAGTATCAGATGACTCAGGACAGTGATAGTCCTAAATTGGTGAGGATCTTCCAATGGGGGAAGTGTATCAGATGACTGGGAGGGTGGCGGTAATCCTATAATGCTGAGGAGGATGAGGGGCTTATGTTGATTAGGACAGTGAGATGAGCAGAACTTACAACTATAGGTGGGAAGAGTTAAGCTGATAAGGAATTTGTCCCTCCCTGAGTGAAAACCTTTCTCTTTTTTTTTTTTTTTTACTACTCAGTTCTCAAAGAACCGGCATGTCTTCAGTTGATGTACTCTACCCTTGAGCTTCACAGCATCATGGGACTATTGAGGCCTCAGACAGCCCTAATCATAATTTAATTGTGAAGTGACTTTTTCCCCCCAAAACTATGTAGAATGGCTCCTGACAACTGAGTTTTGGGGTGCTGGAGTGTCCTGGAGGTAGTTTCTAGGTTCTTTCTGTCCTGAGCAGACTGGTCAAGACAAGCACATATCGTAGCAAAGTTTATTAAATGTAGGAAAAGAAACAGGCTCTGCAGAGTTTGGGCCAAGGAACAGAAGTGAATCCTGCAGCGTGAGGGTGGGCCAACCACGTGAGAGGACACAGTGACCCAAACTCAGTGTGGACTGTCCTTTTCATGTCATCTGCTCCTCAGGCTGATGTCAGGTCTAGGCCATCCTATTGAAAACCTCAAGTTCTCAGGAGAAGTCTATGTTCAGGACTTTGGGACCTGTTCAGCACAAGTGTCCTGGGATCTTGTAATTAACAGGTCATGCCTACTTTCCCAGCCAGCTTTGCAACACCCTAATCTCCTGTCTCAGTAGGCCTACAGACAAAGAACTCTGGCCTCTTTGTTTAGGACTTTTCAGTACTAGGGACTAGCACCTGTTCCCATCAGTCTACCCAAGGGTGCATTAAGTCTTGTTTTGACCCCATCCATAGCTGCCTTATTCCCTCCCTCCCTTCCGTTTTTTTTGTTTGGTTTTTTTAGTTTGCAATATTGGGAATTAAACCCAGGGCCTTCACACTTCAGCCACATTTCCAGCCCTTTTTAAAATTTTGAGACAGCCAGTTGGGGATTTAGCTCAGTGATGCTGCTGCCTGCCTCGAAGGTCCTGAGTTGGATCCCCAGTACCAAAAAAACAACACCAAAACAAAACAAAAAAATTTTGAGACAGGGTCTCACTCAGTTGCTTTACTTTTTTTTTTTTTTGAGTGAGTCTCCCTTTGTAGTTCAGGCTGGCTCTGAACTCACTATGTAGCCCAGGCTGGCCTCAAACTTGCAGTGATCCTCCTGCTTCAGCCCCCTGAGTCCTGGGATTACAGACATGCGCCACCACACCCGGCATTGTCTTCTTTCTTGTTATTTTACATTTCTATATATGTACAGGGAGCCAACTATTTACATGGCTCACTATTACAGTGAGCTATCATTTCTAAATTCAGTTGGTGACTTTTAACTCCAGTAGTGATAACAGTACAGCTCCAGTTTGAAACCAAGGGTGACCCTGTGCCCATCTGGGATTCAAAGGTTTGATAACCCCTATCCTGTCATCCCTTCTTTTCTCAAACCATGTGTTCCAGCAGTCGGGGTTGCTCCAGTGAAGACCGTCTTCACACACGACAACAGCATGTTCCATACATAAGTCTCGCACTGACAGTATATGTGCTCGACTTTCTTTTCCTGTTTGGCAGACCATACTTGTCCCCTCTCTTGTTTTCTTTTGTCAGGAGCTTCCTGTCATCCAGTGTACATTTAACCGGAAAATGAAATACCAATAAAATAAAATTTCAAATATATACTGAGTGTTTAGAATAAACATCAACATTTTCTACATCAACTGTTTGCTTAGTAAATCTAAAAAAACCCAGCAGAAATAAATTCCTATGTTAACTACATACAGTGAAAATACAAATAAAACTCTTACCACAGAAATAATCTTTATTTCATTTATCATATTGAAGGCAGTTTTCACACATGAGAACACTTTGTTCCATACACAAAAATTGCTTACAGTGATAGCACATGTGTTTTTTTGTTGTTGTTTTGGTTTTGAGGTTTTTTTTTCCTTCTTTCGTAGGACATAGCTGACATCTTGCTGGTCTTCCTGTTTTCTTTGGAGGTTCTTGTGATGTTTCACCTGTCTGTTCACTGGTCTGCTCCAGAAGTCTTTTGAGTAGTTCTTTGGGCAGATACATACTGTTTTTCCTCTGTTATAAATGATCAGTTATCAATTCCAGTCCCAGTCCTCTAAGAAAATTTTTCCACGATACTTTGTGCTTGTTATTTTCTTTGTAAACTATAAAACTATTTATCCCTGACATGTTTACAGTTGAGTAAAACATACCCATTGGCCAAGCTTTGTGTTTCGAGTGACATCATAGTTGCTGAATAGCTTGTCAAAAACATTTACTCTTCCTTTCATTTTGTTGTAAAATGTGACCATCTCTGGCTTCGTTTGTGTTGAGGATTCAGTGTCAGTCTTTTTTTGTTGGTTTGTTTTAAGACAGAGTCTCACTCTGTAGTTCAGGCTGGCCTGGAACTCACTGTATAGTACAGGCTGACATTGAACTCATAGGATCCTCCTGCCCCTGCCTCCCCAGTGCTGGGATTAACAGGCTGTGCCACCACACCACTATCAATTTTATTATAGTGTAACGTTGACAGTATCAATACTACTTTGTTTTTCCTCACCAGTGTGTCTTTCTGAAATCCAAAGATTGTACTATACATTTCCGTTTTCTGAACTTGCGACATTTTGGGGGGAATCTCAGCTTTGTTCTTACAAATAGTTCCTGTGCTAGTCAACTGGTGTTCTTTTAGCAAATGTAACATCAGTGAGTAACTAGTGAATCAATTGTCCAATGTGACATTGGAGTTACTTTTTTTTTTTTTGGTACCGGCGATTGAACTTGGGTCCTTGCGCTTGCACAGCAGGTGGTGAATGGAGTTACTTTTTGAAGTAGGTGCAGCAAGTGTGTTCACAAAGTCATACAGTTTATTACTGCATGAAGAAAGACCTGGTGGCTGAGTTCCAGAAAAAAATTTCTAAATTCAAGGAGTGAAATGTCTTTGCATCTACCGGGGCATATATTTTTCTACCATATTTAGAAGATTTACTTGGCATTTATTGCTTAAAGCTTCAGCAATAATGAAATAATGCAGGTTGTTCATTAGTTGTCATGTATTTGGACTGCAGTTGCTTGACAGTTGGAAACTCAGTGAATGAGCAAATAGTAGCCAAATTGTCGGCATTTTTTCTTTCTTGGTGAGTCTTTTTATTGTCAAAACGTAGGTGTTTTTGAAGAAAACCAGATCTCGAGTGTCATTGTTCTAAAAATATCAATGCCACATTTGTCACTTTTTCATAAATCCTTTAGATTCTGACAGAGTGATGAAAGTCCTGCTCTGAAGGCTTTTAGTTCAGATAGTGAAACGTCATGATAAATGTATTTTTGAGTATTACTGTTGATGCATATAGGATGTTTTCTTGTATTTCATTATTAGTGTATTTCAGAACATCTTGTAGCATATCGTCCATTATAATTTCCAACGTCGAATTGCACTGTTGGCATTCTGTCCAATAGGTTTCACTCCTGGCAAGAACCTAATAACATTTTCTAACCTAGTTGTAACACTGGATCATTCAGGTATACATGACCATTTTGTAGCATTTTGACTAGTCAAATATTTGTTTACATTACTGTTTTCTTCCTTATCTGAATCCAGGTCTTCATTCTGTACTTGTCCATCTGTCATTCTTGCTAACTCTTTGTTTGTTTTTGTTTTTTGGTATCAGGGATCGAACTCGGGTCCTTGTGCTTGCACAGCAGGCGGCGAAACCACTGAGCTAAATCCCCGGCCCCTTGCTAACTCCTTGGCTCACATGATCCAAGTCATTATTGGTAGCTGAGTCACCTGATGACTCACTTTTAACCTCTTCCCAAAGTTGTCAAAGAGGATTTTCTTATGACATTGTACCGAATCAGGCTCTTTCTATAAGAAAAATCAAAAGAAAACATTTATTTAAAAAATTATAAATACACAAAAATGTAACATGGCTCATAACGTGGGTAAAACTCACTGATTCACACTTTGACACACATGTGTACACCTTGCCATTCCTCTGTCAAGTGGGTGAACACAAAGATTGCTTCTTGTACACCCCCAGCACAGCTACTGAGTTGCACAGCTGGCCACCATTATGCTAAAGTACATATTTTCATTAGAAAAGTATGGTATGTATGTCTGCAACCCTGAGTGAGGAATTCTGGGTGAGGAACAGAACAGAGGGGATAATTTACTTTCTTTTGTATGAAAGGAATCCTTACAAATGAACATTTATCGAATGATTACAAAAAAGGTCTGATATTGTTCTAAGCACTCTGTAATGAGTTATTTTTCACAGAACACTCCTATGAGTATTTTGAATAATGTTCTATTATTCCTGTTTACAGATGAGGAATCTAGGCATACAGAGAGGTTAAATAACTTGTCTAAGGTTACAGGGAGTGTGTGGCTGAGTACTCATAAATATGGTATTGTTCTGCTTCCCCCTTGCTAAGGAAGGCATCTAAGAGCTTTCCACAGGGGAAGAATTACTGTTCCTAAACTGATTATGTTAATCACTACAGCTGCAGTTTCAACAGTACTGTAAAACCCAGATAATAGAGCACTTTTGTAGTGTTCTAATTTTTCCTTCTCATCTACCTTTGTTCTGACAGGTTTGCCTTTTCACCATTGTCTGAGGAAGAGGAAGATGATGAACAAAAGGAACCTATGCTGAAAGAAAGCTTTGGTAGTGATAAAACTCACTTTTTATTTGTGCTTTAAATATTTTTTCATATAAGTATATTGTTTATTATTTCACAACAGTGTTGTTCCTCAGTTTGGTGTGTGATAAAGTTAGGATGGAGGGGATATAAAAGTGTAAGTTTTAAGGTGAAGCAATGATGAATTGAATAAATAATTTCACATTAAATGTCTAGTTTACATGCTAGGAGTGAGCTGTAAGTTTAGCTTTGAACGTCCCAGTGTAAATGCAGAGATGGAGAACATCATGTTGTATAAATCAGTTAGTAAGCTTAAAATAAAGCTCTCAATCCATTTTTGCAATCATAGCTGATCTGTTTATAGAGTTAACCAGTCGGCATGCTTTTCTCCCTTCTGCAGAAGGAATGAAAATGAGAAGTACGAAACAAGAACCAAACGGAAATAGTAAAGTAAATAAAGCAGTAAGTCTGACTTTTTTCCTTTTCTCTTTGGTTTTTGCCCAATTTTCCAGTTCTTGTTGGAAGTCAGTAGTTACATAGAAGCCTTAATGATTTCTGTACCTATGCTATAATTAGGCTTGCTTTATAAATCTATGAATATATGTATTAATTAACATTCAAAAACTGACAGCAAATGAGGCTAAGATCTAGTAATCTTCAACAAGATGATTGCTTTTCTATTCCTAAAAAGTAGCAGATCATTCTGATTATTCTGTTTAATGGTTTTCAGCAGTGAAGTCGTCATCCCATTAATAACTTGAGGTCTTTTTTTGGAGTAAAGACCTAGATGTTTTCAGTCAGGGATTTTTCTTTTTTCTTTTGGTGCTGGATTGAACCCTGGCCCTCAGGTGTGTTAGGCAAACATTCCTGCTACTAAGCTAAACCTGCAGCCATCAATCAGATTTGATTGAAACTGAACATCCACTCTCTATAGAAAGCTTTATTTATTTGTGATTTTTTTTTTTTTTTTTTGAGACAAAGTCTCTATATGTAGTCCACACTTGGCCTCCAGTGCCTTCAGTGCTGCAATTACAGGCATGTGCCACAATGCCCAGCTTTAAAAGGACTTTAGAAATTATCTCCGTCTTAAGGGCTAAAGCATGCATGAAATATACTTCATGTATATTAGGCCAATGAGAAGAATATTTGACGATGGAGGACATTATTTTGTATTTCTATGATTTTAAAAATTAAATTATTTGATCCTACCCAGAGCAATTAGGCAAGAAAAAGAGCATCTACATTGGAAAGAAGTTAAATTGTTCCTGTTTACAAATAACATGATCTTACATATAGAAAAGACTCCATAAAACTGTTAGAACTAATAAATTCAGTAACATTTCAAGATACAATCTCAACATACAAAAATTAGTTGTATTTATACACTAGCAGTGAACTGTCTGAAAGAAATCAAGAAAACAGTTCCATTTATAATAGCTACAAAAAAAGATCTTAAGGCTTGTTAGAGCTTTACTTTGGTTGTGTCATGTGGTACATTGTAGTAACAGCTAGTATTTGTATACTCCCAGCAGGAAGATGATTTGAAGTGGGTAGAAGAGAATGTTCCTTCTTCTGTAACAGATGTGTAAGTGTTTGAATCATTCTTTTCTTTTTTTGTTGTTTTGTTTTTTGAGACAGGGTCTCGCTATGTAGTTCAGGTTGGCCTTGATCTCACTATATAGTCTAGGCTAGCCTCAAACTTGTGGAGGTCTCTGAGTGCTGGGATTATAGGCATGTGCCACCATGCCCAGCATGAATCATTACTATTAAGAATACTATTTCAAAGTTAGTACCACTTTTTTATTATTTTAAAGCATACTAATGAGAATACAAGATGATGAAGAATGATTTAAACAAAAATAACTGGGATTATTCATTCAGATGATGTTTAGAAAGATCTAGCTATAGCTCTTCCCAAAATCAATGTGATAGTCCTTCCAGAATTTTGAAGTTCTTTTCTAGAGTTGTAACTTGAATGAACTGTTAACTCTATTATATTCCAGAACATGTTTTTCTTGTTTATTTGCCTTTTTTTCCTAAAAGGGCTGTTAATAAGATGCATGACTTAGGGCTGGGGATTTAGCTCAGTGGTTCCACCACCTGCCTTGCAAGCACAAGGTCCCGAGTTCAATCCCCGGTACCAAAACAAAACAACAACAACAAAAAAAGATGTATGACTTAAATAAGTTATGGAAAAGCTTTAAGTTGTAGTCACTACTTCACTGTCCTTTACGAACCATTTATAGCTTTATTTGACATTGTTTAATTTAGTGTTTCCCTCTCTCTGCAGAGCACTTCCTGCCCTTCTGGATTCAGATGAGGTAAGTAATCACATCATGTCTGTAAGCTGTGGATCTGGTGACTTAATAACAAGTCATGAATGAATTGAAGAATTAAGATGGTACAGCAGAAGAGGAGGAGAAAAGAAAAAAAAGAAAAGAAAAGGAGGAGAATGGGAATATGAACAGAACTTGAACATTCAAAGGAAAGAGTTTCCTTTCTTTATAGCTGCTATCCACATCCTTCTTTTCTTTTCTAAAATTGTGTGGTACAGGGGCCGGGGATTTAGCTCAGTGGTTTTGCCGCTTGCTGTGCAAGTGCAAGGATCCGAGTTCGATCCTCGGTACCAAAAAAAAAAAAACCAACAAACTTGTAACGATCCTCCTGAGTGCTGGGATTACAGGTGTACGCTACCATGCCTGGTCAGGAGGTATATTTCTAAGGAGAAAGCGAAAAAGATAAAGATTATTGGATGTGATTAATCATATTTTTAAAAGATTTTAAAATATATGATAAATACTTAGCACGTAAAACAAAGGGAAACTGAGAATACTAACTGTAAAAATTGGATAGTAAATGAAATTTGATAGTATATTTTGTAAAACAGGACAGTATAAATACTGTTTTATAGTGAAATGTTAATTTTTCTATATGATTTTAAAAATTTTGATGAAAAACAACATGTGCCTTCCTAACCATCCTTAAGTAAAGAATGTGGACTCTGTACACTCTGTGCCACAGGCCTCTGGAACTGTCAGCTGAGCATGTCGATGAGCATGTGGTTCATTGTGAAGATGTATCAGTTTGTGTGCACAGACATCCATTTTTAGACTTGGCTCCTTTTTGTATTTTGTTACAATGCTGAGTGTTGTAGCTAAATCTATGTCCACATCCTTCACTGGGTCTTTAAATTAAATTCCTTAACTTAAAGAGGGGAGGTACATGTTCTTAAAGCTTAATTAGCCAGGCGTGGTGGTGCACACTTGTAATCCTAGCACTCTGGAGGCTGAGGCAGGAGGATCTCTGTGAGTTTGAGGCCAGCCCGAACTACATAAGGAGACCCTATGTTTGTTTGTCTCAAACAAACAAGCAAACAAACTTATCTGTTTAGTCATCTTAATTGACTGCAAAATACATTTCTCTCTGAGTTGTGGTTTGCTGTCCAGAAGGCTGGAGATTTTGACTTAATTGATCTTGGTGGGGCCTATTTGTTTTACAAAATCTTCATAGATATTTAGGAATCATTGCCCCACAGAAGATACTTGAGAGGTAGATCATTTTAAATTAATACACTTAAACCTTTTTCTTACCTCCCAGGAACGAATGATCACACACTTTGAACGGTCCAAAATGGAGTAAAGAATGGGAAGATTTGCAGTCGAAGATGGCTGTTATCAAGGAAGAGATCAGCTTCTATCAGCATCTTCTACAGTGGTCTGTGGGATTAATGGAGACAATGACATCCTAATCTGTTTCTTGATCTTTGTGCATTGGAGCTGGCGAGAGGTGTCAGAACAAGTTGAATATCTTACTGAAAACATGTTCTAGGTTAAGAAAAACCTACAAGCTTCTTATTTACAACATTGATGCCCTTTCCCTCCCTAACTCTGACACGGATGCTTATGCAACTTATGTGTTGTTCCTCAACTTCCTGTGTTTCAGTTGTTTAATCTGTCAAACTAAAGTTTAACATCTTCTAAAGGACTGTGACATCAACACCATAGTATGTAATCTCCAGGAGCAACTGCCTGTAATTTTTATTTATTTAGGGAGTTTCATGGGTGATGGGGGAAATTGTTACTTGTCTTTCAGTTTTCTGGGAACTCCAGGTTCCATCTTGTAGAGGGCCCTTCTGAGTTAAGGAGCCATGGTTCTATCAGTGATCAAAAGAAAACAGTTACAGCGAATCATTTTAAAAAAGCAAACTCAAGTGCACTTTTGTTTACAAATGGTGTATATTAAAGATTTTTGTATTTCAGATGTACTTTAAAGAGAAATATTAGCTTGACTCTTGACATCTGCTATTGTGTGACACATCCCATTGCCGACAATGTGGTGCCTACTCTTGGAACTTATACCTGCTGTTCTGTAAGCCTCCAGAGGTGGCGTGTGGGGTCCTGCAGTGCTGCCTGCCCGAGTGCTATTCCTGGGAAGCACCCCTCTAAATGCTGTGATCGAGCACCCTGCTGGAGGGATTGTCATGCTGCAAGAGTGGGAGCTTATGAACCCAAACAGGTCCTGCTGGCAGAGTCTGCAGTTATTGCATGAAATAGTGTGGAGGCCCTGACTGCTGCTCTTTCTTTAGGTTTGACTTTAGTATCTGGTGTTGGTTTGGAGACTTCATAAGGGACATCACAAGGTGATGGGATTCACTTGAAGCACTGTATTTCTGTTTTAATGGGTTTATCCTATTTTGTCCTACATAAAAAGTTCATGTCACTTTTTAATATAAAACATTTTAACAAAATTAATATATTTTTCTCATTTATTTCAAGCTTTCTCTAAATATCTTTCTCCCTTACTCTTTCTTGTGGAATTGTTTTCCTGTAGTTTTATTCTAGATTGTCACATTTTCTGTTGAAACCAGTGACCACAATCATCACTAACTTACACTATAGTAAAAGTGTTAACATTTAGGTAGCATTTCTATACACCTCATTGCTATGGTGAGTTTTTGAAAAAAGTCATCTCAGCAGTGTTTCTTTTTTTTTTTTTTCTCAGCAGTATTTCTAAGGAACAATAATATGAAGAACTGAAGAACCAATTATGTTCTTAACTCTAGTAAAAGTCTGGTGGGATAGATTGGTGTGTTGCTGGTGCACCCCAAACCTTATCAAATGGAAAAATAGTTATTATGTAGCAGGATAGTTGATCAAATATTGTTTAGTCTGTTCTGGTATAGAAAAGACTTAAACATTAAGTATATAGTACACATTTTATGTAACAGGCTAGTGCCTGATAATTCTATTTATGTCTTTTCTGTGTTTACTATGATTAGATATAATGTGTTTATCTTAGTGCAGGTTCAGGGGGAGTTGATAGTTTCACATTGACCATTAGCACCTAAGTTAATATTATTTGTGTTGTTTTTGGTCCTTGAACCTGGAACTACTAGATTATTAGACTTTTCCAGGTAATTCTTCATTTTTAAGAAAATAGTTTCTATGGTGAAAATCGGTCAGTTATACAAGATTTGTTGAGCAGTTTTTGTGTTTCTAACTACTTGTAAATATACTTTTCATTTATCAGAACAGCATGTGGTAAAGATGTAGTAAGAATCCTTATAGATGAAAAAACTGATACTGTGTAAAAATAGTGACCTTTTAAACTTCACATAGTCTGAAGATTTCATATAATCTTTTAGATTTTTGCTTTAATCTCAAATGGTTAAGTTTATTACATATATAGTGCTTTAATTAGGGGCAGTTACCAGATACGGATCATTCTTGCAGCTCAAATTCAGTTTTTAAGTTTCCAGTGTGAAAACTATGGTAATCTCAGAAAGTAAGGCCCTTCTGAGGAAAGAGTCATGTCTTTTGGTTTCCTAAAAGAAATTAGGATGTAAGACACAGTTTGGGAGAGTTAAATAGGTAGGCATGTCATCCATTTAAATTTCTTTTTACTGACTCCCAAGAGTTATGGATCAAATTTTGCTGCCTAAATCCTTGCTACTCAAAATGTACAGGAAACAGTAGCATCAGCAACACCCATGAGCTTGTTAGAAATACTTAACTGAGGGCCCCACTGATTCTCCTGGACCCAAATCCCACTTTAGCAATATCTCTAAGTGATTTGTATGTACATTAATTTTTGAGAAGCATTGGCTTGGAACAGTTTTTAACGGGTGATTTTGCCAACGAGGGGACTTTTAGCAAAGTGAGATGGTTTGAGTTGTATTTGTGACCTCTGGGGCGGGTGCTGCTGGCATCTACCTGGTGGTAAACTGCTGCCAAACAGCCTACAGTGCACACAAACATTGCCTCTCCACCACCAACAAAGTAGTGCTCCAGTTGAGAAACCCAAGCCTAGGGCAGGAGTTCTCAAGATTTTAAGCGCATGGACTCACCGAGGGAGACTTGAAAGATTGCTGTTCTCCAGAATTTGATTGAGTAGAGCTGGAGTGAGGCCCAAGACTTGAGTTTATAACAAGTTCACAGGTGATGCTGCTGTTGATTTAGAAGCCACACTGAAAGCCACTGCACTACAACTTTAAAATGTAAGTTTAAGGTAGTTCAATCAGTTGGGATATAATGGTAGTACTGAAGCTATTATCCATTGACTGGTTAGAGTGTATGTATATCAGTGTTGCTTGGGGCGCACAAAACCATTTCGCAGATAATGAAAATAAGGGTTAGAAAGATTAAATTTCCCAAAACACAGCTTATTTCCTAAATGGTATGTCTCCCAAATCTGACGCCAGTGCACCACACTTATTGCTTGAGGCGGTTCTAAGACTCAAGATCTGTTCCTATCCTTTGTAGCCCGCGGCTCGAGCAGACCACTAGATCTAGCATACCGGGTTCCCAGGGTCCCGGGGACTGAACGAGGGCAGGGCGGAAGGGGCGGGGCTCAAGCGGCGGAAGGGGCAGGACTAACCTGGCAGGAAGTCCTCGAAAACGGATATGTTGCCGAAGGGCCTGTAGCAGGGGTCTTGGTGGGTCGCGGTCTATCCTTTCCTCTACCGGGTTGTGACCACGAGCCCTCCCCATTTTGGAGAGGCAGCGGCGGCGACTCTTGCGTCGCCGCCATGCACGACGCTTTTGATCCGGTGCCGATCCTAGAGAAGCTGCCTCTGCAGATCGACTGCCTGGCTGCCTGGGGTGAGCCGAGGGTCCTGGGGCCGAGGCCGGGTTAGCGCGAGGGCCGCTCGGACCTTTCGCGAAGCTGGAGAAGTGGACCGGCGTTCGGCTGTGTAGGCCCGGGTCGGATGCCGTCCAAGAGAGGTCCGGGATGAGGGAAGAGAGATGATCGCCGGCTGTAGGCAGCGATGGTCCTGGGGGCTGTTTAGGCGATCCCTGAGGACCCAGTCTTTTAGGGACGTCGCACCCGCTCTGTGTTGTTGGAGGTTGAAATCTGTTAATTGCGCTCTGTTTGCCCCATTTCGAATCCCAAGAAGTCATTAGTGTAGAGGAGTAAAGCAGCCTGCCAGGCGCTTGAACTTGTGAGATGGTGGTGGCATTTTCTAGGTGAAGGGCAGTTTATTGAGGATGGAACAGATTAACACCATATGCTTTTTCCTCCCTTAGTGTGCACTCATAATTGACTTCCTTGCTGTAAGTAACTAATATAGTTAATCTCCAAACCCAGCCAAGAATTTGTCTTATATCCAAAGTACTCAAGTTGCCTAACTCTGGAGATGGAGGAGCGTCATACCAGACTGTTGTGAATGTTAACTCATATAACCTTGTATAATCCTCTTGGGATTGACCAGCGCAGAAAGCCGGGTCAGATATTTCTTGTGTTTCTGGAGTACAAAATGAAGATTTCAGGGGTCTGAGCAAACCTTGGCTGTCAGCTTCAAACATTGTATGCCTGTCTATGGGTGGTTGTGTCCGATAACAGTCCCCAGAAATCAAGTAGAAATAATTTCAGTCATTCCTGTTAAAGTCTAGGTCCTGGAAATCAAGGGCCATAAAAAGATAGCTTAGAACCCTTATCACATCTTATACTGAGCTTGGTACCCATTATGGAATCTTTGAATCCATGATGGCAACCCATGGAATCTTGGTGGCTGGGATCCTATGCTTCATCTGCTGACAGTGACCCCTCATGCTTACAGAGTACTTCATGGCCCCTTAGTAGGGCACCTTCACTATAAATCTTCGTGTTAATGTGTGCCCTTGATCCACTAGCAGTCCTGGGCTGCTCTAAAAATCACACCTCCACAAGACGTTATCGCAGTCCTTTGAATTAGGGTGAGAATTTTATTTCCTCTGTATACCTCAAGAAAACCTCCTTTTCATGGAGGAAAAATTAATAGAGGAAGAGGAAAAAGAAATTAACAAAATGAAAGACCCGAGACAATGCATGGAAGGATTCATTGCTTTGTTGCTTCATCAGTTATGTGTTAGGTACCTACATGGACTGCATTGTCTGACAGCGACAGGAACAAATACAAAGATGAGTAAGAAACAGGGCCTTGAGTGCAGTAAGCCAGACTCAGAAAGATTGAATGTTCTCCCTGATATGTGGAGTCAAAAAAAGATGACAAAAAAGTCAAGGAGAGACTGTTACTAGATAAAAGGAAGTGAAGGAGGAAGACGAGGGAGAGTAAGGGCAGATAATAAGGGGGCACAACTGCGACCAAAATACATGATAAACATTGAACCGCCACCCAGATATGAAACTGGGGGGAAGGTCGGGTAAGGGGAGCAGCGGGTGGGAAGTGATTAAGGTATTTTAGGTACAAAATGAAACTCATCAATCTGTATTCTCACTATGACTAATAAAAAGATGTATGTGCGTGTGGTGGGGGGAGAAACAGTGCCTGTGCTACTAGAACCCAGTGGGGAACAAAACACATGAAGGTATTATGTTGAAAGGTAAATGATACTAAAGACGTATGCTGCCTGTTATTACAACGTGCAGGAAGGGTACCCAGCTTAGTCTTAAGATACATGGTTCTGAGACGGATGGATGTACCTGCTTACCACACTTAGTTTGTTAGAATCTTTGATTCGGATATCCTGTGGGGCCATATAGCTGTTAGAGCCTGTCTCACCAATCCCACCTTATCACAGTAGAGATTCCTCATTCCTGTGCTTTTATAAAGGAATACAATTTTGAACCGGTAGGTAGCTTTTTGCCTGGCTTCATTACTTACCAAACAGGAGCAGGGCCTTTACTAACTAGATTGCTGTGCATATTGGGCTACAGGAGGCCATTTATTTCCTCCTGCCTCAAAACTACTTTATTTTCAGATTTCAGCAGCAAGAATTATTGCAATTTCTAGTCACTATCCCCTTGTATCTATGTTCATCCAAGAACCTGCAGGGTCATATCATGCAGGGCAAAAATTTGAGCTGGAAGGTCTTGGTGACAACATAATCCCTCGCCTGGGAAATAGAAATGAGGAAGACACCAGTAGTTTCTGCCTCAACTTCAGAGTTGCTGTTTTGGCTTTTTCATTTGGATGTTTAGTGGCCTGGCCAAACCCATTCAAAACACGCCTGTCCTTCTGCACCCGCATCTCAACAAATGGGATTTCTCTTTGCCTCTTTGGCTAAGGCCAAAAGCCTTGGACTCATTCTTGACTTCTTTCATTGTGTTTTATAGTATGTCCAGTCCATTAGTACTCTGCGCTCTGCCTTCAGAACAAATCTAGAATCTAGTCATTGTGTTCTCTCTCCACTGTTAACTACTTTTTTTTTTTTTTGGCACCAGGGACTCAGGAACTTGCACTTGCCAGGCAGGTGCTGTGCTGCTAAGCTAAATCCCCAGCCCTACCCTGTTACTACTCTTGATGAAGGCACCATCATAGCTTATCTGAATTACTGAGTAGCCTTTTGATTGTCACCCTATGTTTGCCTTTGTGTCATTTTCAGTTTTTTATCTATGTAAAGATAGAATGAGCCTTTGAAAACCTAAATCAGATCATACCTCTCTTCTGCTCAAAACTTTTCAGTTCTCATCACAACTAGAATAAGTTCCAAGGTCCTTACCATAGCTGGCAGCACCCAGCATGATCAAGCTGTGGTTACTTGCCTAACTTAATCTCCTGTTGACTTACTCCTTACTCCTTTTTGGTACCAGTCACAGTCTTCCTTGTTCATGAATAAGCAGAGCACATACCTGCTTCAGGGTCTTTGCATTTGCTGGTTGCTCTCTTGCCTAGACGTCAAATGGATCATTCCTTATTGTCTGCTGAAGTGTCACTTAAACAGCGAGACCTTTCCTAAGTATCCTATAAAAGAGAATACCATATCCACCAATGTGCTGTTCTCTTACCCTTATCTTTATCATGGATAACCACTCAGGGTTATTTTAATACTGTCACTTTCCACATTGAAAAACCAATTCCTTCAGTGCGGGAACTTTGTTTTGTACATTGCTGTATCTCCAGTGCCTTGAACAGTTCCTGACCCAATGAATGTTTGTTAAATATTTAAGTAATGAATAATGATATTAACATTATTGATATTAATAACTGATTTATTGAGTACTTGTGAATATACATTCATATTTACTTACATTTTCCAAAGAAACAATGGAAGGACAAACCAAAAATTATTAAATCTTATCTATACCAGAAGGGAGAGGTAAGGGTGGAATGGCCAATAATCAAAACTAGACTTCTTACAGTTTTGGCTTTGTAACTACATAAATTAGGGGTTGGGGGCGGTACCGGGGATTGAACTCAGGACCTTGCACTTGTGAGGCAGGCAGCAGCACCACTGAGCTAAATCCCCAGCCCAACATAAATGTTTTTATATAATTAACAAAATTAGGGGTTGGAGGTATTGCTCAGTGATACAGTGTTTACCCAGCATGTGCAAAACCCTAGGTTTGATCCCTAGTACTACACACTCATACCCACTGTATATATGTGTGTATATATGTGTGTGTGTGTGTGTATATGAATATATGAAATTATATATATATATATGAATTTAAAAATTTATAAATGTAGCTTCTGCCGTTCCAGAATCATTGAATCAGAATCCCTGGGTACAAGGCTCAGAAATTTGCTTTTTTTTTTTTTGCAACTGGGGATTGAACTTAGGGCCTTCACACTGAGCTATATCTCTGTCTCTTTTTATTTTATTTTCTGTGGTAGGGGATTGAACACAGGGCTTCATGCATGTGAGGCAAATACTCTACTACTAGCTACATCATGTGCATTCTTATTTTTTATTTTTTTTATTTTTTTGGTACCAGGGTTGGAACTCGGGACCTTGTGCTTGTGCAGCAGGCGGCGAAACCACTGAGCTAAATCCCTGGCCCCTCTTATTTTTTATTTTGAGATAGGGCCTTGCTAAGTTGCCCAGGCAGGACTCCAACTTGTGATCCTCCTACTTCAGCCTTCTAAGTACTATAGAGGAATTTGCATTTCTAATCAGTCCAGATGATTCTGACACAGCTAGTCGGAGGCCATATGACCTGAAGAAGGAAGGTGACTACTACTTACTCACTGCTGAGTTCCCTGTTGTGGCCAGCATTGGTCTGGCAATGGAATTGTTTATTTCCTGAAGTTGGACTGCACTGCATTGTTGGACAGAGCTTCGTTAGGGTAATCATGAGCAAGAGCATCCAGCCTTATTTCCCAGGAGGGACCAAGTCCAGTCTTGAGACCCATCATTAGGCCATTACGAATTCTCTAGGGCTGGCTGGCTGGTGTATGTGTGTGCAGCCTGTTTATGTAATGTGCCCCACTTTCTGATGTGCAGCATTGGGTCTCAGAAGGGTGCCTATTCCACTCTGTGCCTACCCCACAGGGTTGGTCTCAGAGTCGGGTCCTCTGCCTCCTGATCCCCCACTGACTTCTGTGGGCAAAGCAGACCCCTTCAGAGTTCCTTGCCATTAGCACAACTGGATGGCCCACTGCTTGTCCTGATGAGTGTGGAATGAGGAAGGAGTATGTGTGTAGTGTCTTTACTATTTAAAAGAAAGGTGTTTAAGCCCAAGTGCCCATCAACTGGAAACTGGAGAAAGAAGATAGTTGTTTTTTGGGATTTTTTTGGTACTAGGGATCGAACTCGGGTCCTTCCACTTGCGAGGCAGGCAGCGGAACCACTGAGCTAAATCCCTGGCCCCAAGATGTGTTTTTTTAATAAAATGGAGTACTACTCAGTCATGAAGAACAAGAAACTAGAGACATTTATAGCTAAATGGATGCACATTGAGGCCATACTCTTAAGTGAAATAAATAGGACACACGTGTAAATACCGAATAGTTTCTCTAGTGTGAGAAACTGAAAGGGTAAATAAGGATTAAAATGATTAAAATGAATAATTGATAATTTGAAATAGGAAAAGTTCAAAGGGGTAGGGGTGGTGGGAGGGGAAGGGGAAAGGAAAGAGGGGAAAGGAAAAATTATGAGAAAAAGAAAAATATGGAAACAAAGTCTTTGTAAATAGGGAAGGGTGGAGGGGTGAAGGGAGGACAGGAGGAAAAAATAAGAACCAAGGGCTGAGGATTTAGCTCAGTGGTTCCACCGCCTGCCTCAAAAGTGAAAGGTCCCGAGTTTGATCCCCCGTAAAAAAAAAAAAAAAAAGAACCAAGATCCATCATGTACAGGTACAAGTACCCAATGATAAATGTAAATTTATACCGAAAATGTACCAATAAAAGAATTTAAGAAAAGAAAAGAAAGGTGTTTAAATACTTTGCATATATGATAAATATATTTTTCCTCAGCACATACAAAAGTAAAAATTTTTTAAATTTCAGTAAATGTAATCTGTCTGTTTTTCTTTTTTGGCTGGTCAAATAGACATTTCATAAGATTTATCTATTGACAAATAAGCATTTCAATGAAAATGGGAAATAGACTGGAATGTCATGTGAAGAGTTTACCAAAGAATTGTTATTTGGCACAAGACACTATTGGATAATGGTACAAACATATTTATTGAGCATTCTTTGTCTTCCAGGAAATACAAAGCACATACCATGTGTTATTTCACAACCACATTGGGAAGTAAGGTTTGTTTTGTTTTGCAGTACTGGTAATTGAACCTAGGCCTTTGCGCTAAGCTACACCATTAGCTCTTAATTTTCGATTTTGAGACGGTCTTGCTAAGCTGCAAAGTTGGCCCAGGCTGGGCTCAAACTTGAATCCTCTGCCTCAGGCTTCCAGAGTGCTGGGGTGACAGATGTGCACCACTATGCCAGGTTTTTTTTCCCCCCTTCAATTCCACCCAGGAGTGGAATTGTTGGGTCAGAGGGTTACACTATGTTTAAACTTTTGGAGAACTGCCAAACTGTTTTCCAAAGCAGCTATACCATTTTATATTCCTATTAGCAGTATGTGGATGGTTCTGAGTTCTTTACATTGTTGTCAACACTTAGCTAGATCATCCTTGAGATTGTAAATTCTGTAAGGTTAGTATACTGTGGCTCTTATTTCCCCTGATGTAAAATCATGAAAACATCAAAAGATGCCTCTTAGCTGTTATTTCTGAGGTTAGATGTCCAGTCTCATGTTTGTACTATTCATATTATTATTATTATTATTATTATTATTATTTTTTTTTTTGGTACCTGGGATTGAACTCAGGTCCTTGCGCCTGAGCAACAGGCGGCGAAACCATTGAGCTAAATCCCCGGCCATTCATATTATTTTATAAATGTCCATCATATTTTTTTAGCTGGACTAAAAAATATATACTTACCAAAATAAAAAATATCCCCCCCGCCTTGGTACTAGGAATTGAACCCAGGCCCTTTGGATTGAGCTGCATATGCAGCCCTCAATTTTTTTTATATTTGAGACAAGGACTCCCTAAGTTAAGTTGCTCAGGCTGGGTTCCAACTTGCGATCTTCCTTCTTCAGTTCTTGGGTGCTGGGAATACAGGTATGTGCCTCTACACCCAGCAAAACTATATCTTAATAAGAAACGAAAGTAATGAATGCTGAGCTCTTGTCAGAGAAGGAAAGAAAAAAAGAAAGATAATACTGAGGTTCTGTCAAAGAAAGAGAAAGAGGAAGGGAGGGAAGGAAGAAGAAAAAAGAAAACGGTGTTTATACTTAATAAAAGTAAAATTTCCTTATTTCTTTTTGTTCAGTTTAATTCTGAAACAGTGAAGCCGGGGACATTTTACCATCTAATGTAGCCAACCTAGTAATTATTCAATAAAATTTTTATAGCTGGTTCATTTTTAGATTTTTTGGGGGAAGTGCTGGGAATCAAACTCAGGATCTTGTGGATGCTAGGCAAGCACCTAACCACTGAGCTACACCCCAGCCCTTGCTCAGACATTTCTTGAATATAAACATTCCTTAGCTTTTTAAGACATCTGCCATCCAAGGCATCTCATTTTCTTGACCAGGTGATTATCACAAGGCCCAGCTAAAGAAACAAGAGTTTTATTAAAACTTCTAAACTTGACCTTTCTTTTCGCAATTTACCTTGCAGAAGAATGGCTTCTTGTTGGAACCAAACAAGGACATCTTCTTCTCTATAGGATTCGGAAGGATGTTGGTAAGTGACAGACTTTCCAGAACCAAGAAAGAAATGGCTTATTGCATATTCAGTTTTAAAAAAAGCTTTGCTAGATGACTAGTGTACAACCGTGAAATCAGTGATTCTTGGGGCATTAAAGAGCAGTTGGGGATTGGAAGGAGCACATTTGGAAATGGGAAGAAGTGTGAGAATCTTTAGGGTTTTGCTTTGTTTCATTCCCTAAACTGTATTCCTTACCCCCATCTGGAAGGTAGGGTTAGATATTTCTCCTTCTTTGTTTCTTATAGACTCACTACGAGTAATAAAATATATTACCAGTGGGAATAAGATCACTATGTAAAATATGAATGCTGTAGGAGGGAAAAAATTTAGGAGCTATTGATTTTAGAAGATCTTATTAACTTGTGATGGGTAGACTATGAAGAGAGGACCTGGGTTTGTTACTTCTCCCTGTGCTCAGGACTGTGGCCAGGTCCTTTCTAGTGTCAGGTTTCTGTTCTATAAACTGTCTTGTCCATTTCATCAACTGTTTATCTGTTGAGGGCAGATAAAAAAAAGTGGACATGAAGGACTTTGAAAACTAATGTCTACATATGTGACTTTTTCTGCAATAATGTAGAATAATAACTAAGGTATTTGAAGTTTTTTCTGCTGAAGAGTACCCTTTAGCTGGGTGTAGAGGCACATGCTTGTAATCTCAGCACAACGGGAAGCTGAGGCAGAAGGATTGCAAGTTTGAGGCCAGCTTCAAGTATAGCAAGACCAAGTCTTTAAAAAAGGAAAAAACTATCCTTTATTGGAAGGAAAGCATCTCATTCCCTTTTCCTAATTCTGTGCTCCTTTATGAACAGTTGATGTTTGGCTGTTGTGCTCTACACCCACAGTCTATAGAAATCTGTTGTTAATGCCAGAGTTAGTTGAATCAAGTTGTCATTATCCAACTATATTAGACCTGCAGAGACAGCAGTTTCATAGCTTTTAACCTAGTGTGTATTTCCATAGTAAATAACTTAAGGTAAGAGTGGAAACAGCCCAGGAACAAAGGTTACATAACACTGGGAAGAAAGAGCATCTTCTGGAGGCAGGAGGGAGAGAGGAAGGCAGGCTGGTCAGGTTCTGCTTGGACAAATAAGAGAAACCAAAGAACAAAGTTGAGAATTTATTTTGTTTCTAAGTTTGTTAACTTTACTTTAAATCAGAGGTCAGCAAACCTGCTTGTAAAAGGTTCAGATAGTAAATATTTTAGGCTTTGTGGGCCATAAAAGCCTAATTGTGACTGTTCTGCTCTTCCATTATAGTGTGAGCAGGGATATGGGTGTACCACAGTTGTACAGTGCTTGCCTAGTGTTTGCAAAACTTAGGTTTGATCTCTAGTACCACAAACACAAAAAGCAAAACCAGCAGATTAAATGCAGAAGTAGCTGGGCCTGGTGGCACCTGCCTATAATCCCAGCACTGGGTAGGCTGAGGCAGAGGGTTGAGGATCACAAGTAGGTTCAATGCCAGCCTGAACCAGATAGCCAGAGCCTGCCTCGAAAAGTAATATAGCTGGGGATTTAGCTCATTGGCACTGTGCCTGCCTTGAAAGCACAAGGTCCTGAGTTCGAGCCCTGATACTGCAAAAAAAAGAGTGAATAATATAAATAAATAAATAAATAAATAAATAGTAAATGAATGCAGTAGAAGATGTGAGAGTCCAGCTGTTTTCTATTAAGGCAGAAATTAGAGTTTACACAAGTGGAAAATAATACTTTTTTATTTTTTGGAAAAAAGTTCTCTTTTATGAAACTATGATATTTATGATAATGTAGGGCCGGGGATTTAGCTCAGTAGTTCTGGCCCCTGCCTCACAAGCACAAGGTCCTGAGTTTGATCCCCCGTACCAAAAATAAAAAACAAAAGCAGGTTAAAGATATGCTAATGTATGGGCTTATTACTGTTATTTTGAGTTAACGAGTTAGTAAGTATACATTTTATTTTATTTTTTAAATTTTATTTATTTATTTATTTATTTGGTACCGGGGATCCATCTCGGGCCCTTGTGCTTGCACAGCAGGTGGCGAAACCACTGAGCTAAATCCCTGGCCCTTACATTTTAAATATAACAATGAATTAATAGGTACATACTTTAAATATTTCTCTAATTTCTAATATGATAAGAGTTTGTAGTTAACCCTCATGAATGTTCTTTGGGATCCTTTGTGGCCAGCTGTGGAGAAGCAGCTTCCTCCAAGTTGGAGGAGGCTAGCGAGCTGTGGCTGTGGGTCAGCACGGAGTTTACTTCAGGCTCATCTTGCAGTGGCTGCTTCCTAAGTGCTTGATTCAGCAGACCCCTCAGATGTGAACCAGGAAAATAGCCTACTTCTTGGGGGTTGTGGGAGTTTACAGAAAAAAATGTATAATTTTTCAAACCCAGAACCTGTATCTATTGTTGATTAGTGATAGCTGCTGTTATTATTATAATTACTAGATAATTTGATGCTTTGCTGACTTCTGAGGCTGAATACTTTCGTCATCCTCAGCAAAGCTGAATTCACATGTTTTTATAGTTTATAACTGTCTTCCCCTTTTTTGCAACAGTGCCAGCAGATGTAGCATCACCTGAAAGCAGCAGTAAGTGTAGATCACTGAATGGTCCAGCTCTGGAGGTGGCACTAAATGTTGGCTCTGTTTCCTGGGACCTAGGACTAGGGCAGCTGCTGGGAATTCATCAGTTTAGAGGTCAGGGTGCTTTGAGCTGGTTTTCCTTGCTTGAGCTCTTGAATTTGACTTGCTTCTTACATTCTTTCTTGTGAAGCCTTGGCCAAGGTACTTATGTAGGGTAAGATCTTCAGGCTTAGCCTCGGTAAATTTTTGTGGTCCTTTCTGCTGTCGCCAAAGATGCATGAAACCCCCTGTCCCAAACTTGGAATTGAAAGCAATTTATTGTGCTTAGTAAAGACAGTTGGCTATTTTAAATCTCTTCATGTTAGTCTTTTAGGAATTTTTGAAGATTTATGCAAGAGAACAGTATGAGTAGTATTTTTGTTGTGGTTGCTTTTATATGCATCCCTGTGTTTAGAGATTTGCATATCTACTTCTTTTTCATAGGTTGCAACAGATTTGAAGTAACTCTTGAGAAATCCAATAAGAACTTCTCCAAAAAGATTCAACAGGTAAGGAGCGATGATGGGTGCTCCAAGCATATTAGACTTATATGGGACCCTGCTGTATCTGTCTTCTGTTACTGTAATGAAATGCCTAATGCAGACTACTTTATAAAGAAAAGAGGTTTGTTTAGCTCACATTCTGGAGGTTCAAGGCCATGGCACCAACATCAGCTCTGCTCTGATAAGACCTCCTTGCAGGAGCACACAAAAGAGGGAGAGATCCAATTTCCAAACAAGCAGCCGGAGAATGTTCTTTTGTAACAACCTTCTCTTGAGTCTAATGTAAGGGTCCCACGAGAACTACAGTAGTCACTTCCGAGAGTCCACCTCCAGTGATCTAAGAACCTCTCCCAGGCCCCACCTCTTAATGTCACCATACTGGAGACCGAGATTCCAACACATGACCAACGCCTGACGTAATGGAATCACACCCAAGCCACGATACCCGGGAAGCGAGAACTTTTATTAACTTTTTGAGTCCTCTGCTCTCTGCCCTTTACTCATGCAGGATTCTCTGCCTGTATGTTATGCACCTAAATCCTCTTTCATAGAATAAATCGTAGTTACACATAAAAATGAGTCCTGTAACTGGCTAGGCTCTTTAGTCCCTTTTTAGCACTGTTGTTAAATGAACATTTGCTAGACCTTGTCCAGAATGTTTAATTTTGTCTAATTTGCTATTTTCCAGATCCATGTGGTTTCCCAGTTTAAGATTCTGGTCAGCTTGTTAGGTAAGAACAAGGGTTGCATTTGTATTTTAGGTGCCAAAAGACAAAAACGGACATAGCTAGCCATTTCATGGTTGATCTGATAGTGATTAACTTTATAATGAATTGGTATGTTCCAAACCAGACATAGCCCATGGGTAATAAAGGCAGCATCTACCCTAAACATGAACTCTGTTCTGCAAAGATTCTCATTTCATTCATTCAGTAATTAATCAAGTACTGTATTTACTGAAGTGTGATCTGTCCAAAGCCTGAACTAGACATAGGCAGTAACAAATTTAATGAGACATTGTTTCTGTCTTTGATACTTATATTCAGAATATGAGGACTGAAGTAACAGAAAGTAATAATAATATCTAGTAGTAAGTGGCAGTAGACATTTATAAAAAGTTCTGTAGGGCCAGTATGGTGGTGCCTGCCTGTAATCACAGCCTCTTGGGAGGCTAAGGCAGAACAAATGCAAGTGTGAGGCCAGTCTGTGTGACTTAAACTTAGCAAAACCCTATCCTAGGAATGGGAGAGACTGTATTGTTTAGTCGATTACTAGGATTTCCACAGGAAGAGAGGTAGACAGAGCATTACAGTCAGAAGGAACAACTTGAACAAGGGCCTGCAATATGAATACATGGCAAATGGTTCCTTGTGGCTGGGCTTAGGGTGTAACAGTGACAAGCTATCAGGTGAGAGGCAGATGGAGCCAGACTGTTCAGGGGTGTGTGGGAAGCCATAGTTTCATGAAGGCAGCCCGTAAGGCCTTTTTTTTTAGCAGCAAAGGACTAGAAACTTGCCTCACACTCTGCACTGTTCAGCCCAGGCCCCAAATAATAGAGTCATTGTACACTTAGTTCCTGCAGCTAAGGAAGCATATTCAAGGCAACCTAAACCCTTATGACTGAAACTAGATAGGAGGCCAGGGGAGAATCACTGTTGTCCTCCGATCCACAGTTTCCTTCTTTAGGTTTCAGTTATGTGTGATCAACTGTGGGTTCAAAAGCAGGGCAGCCAGGACAGTGCAGGAAGATATTTAAGAGACAAATACCATAGTCACATAAGCTTTTTATGTTATGTATTGTTAGATTTTATTACCACTTACTGGTTTTTATCCCTTATTGTGTCTAATTTATCACTTTTTTTTTTTTGGTACCGGGGATTGAACTCGGGACCTTGAGCTTGCGAGGCAGGCGGCGGAACCACTGAGCTAAATCCCCAGCCCTCTAATTTATCACTTTGTCACAGGCATGTATAGGAAAAACATACTACAGGGTTCAGTACTGTCGCAACTCAGGCATCCCCTGAGGGGTCTTGGAACTAAGTAGTCTAAGAGGGGATTCTGTATTATATTGCTAGCTTTGCTTGGATGAAATCCTTGCCTTGAGTTCATACAAAATCCACAGATTTCCTTTTCCTGATGTAAATAGCTTTGAAAACTATTTGTTGTACAAATGCTGAGTCACAAATTTCCAGGCTTGAGAAGGGCAAAGTGTAGAGTGCTTTGGAAGTGAAAGAGCTCTTCTACTCAAGTCAGCCCAAATTTTTAAGGACCAGAATATCCAAGGTGAGAAGACCAGGTGACCCCTAAATGTACTGGCCTGATAACGTCCCAGAACGAGTCCTTGTTAGTGAACCTGAAGCTACATCTTCAACCAGCATCTGCCATCTGGTCGTTGCAGGTGTTGTATAGTCAGTCACCTTTCTCCTCTCGCGTGTGGCTGTCCTAGAGAAGGGCGGTCATTTATAGTAACATCTTGCCTCCTTCCAAACAGAAAACAACATTTATGTCCATGATCTCTTGACATTTCAACAAATCACTCTAGTCTCAAAGGCAAAGGGAGCATCGCTGTTCACCTGTGACCTCCATGTGAGTAACTCAGGACAAATGTGGCTTTGAGCTTGTGTTTGTGCACCCTTCCCTACCTGTGCACCCTTCTGGGGGGAAATGGCAGTGGTGAGCCCAGGCCAGGTGACTCCGAAGAGAGCGTTTGGATTACCGTGGAGAGGTTTCCCCCATAGTGCATGGTGTGAAGCTGAGACATTTGCATTCCCTGTGTGTTCTGATTGGAAAGCCAGGTGTCTGTGTGTGATAATTACTCATTCAGCTCTCATAAAAGCCCTTGTCATGGACAGAATATTAGTAGGGAAGCAAGAGTGTGACAGTATCAGGAACATAATTATTTATGACATTAAATTACAGATCACTGAGACCTTTGTCCTAGGGGGTCTTTATTGTTCAAAAATGACATCTCATTACTTTTACTAATTCATCATCCTTACAGTCTTCAAAATCTGCCTCATCCACCCCCAACCACGATCTCTTTTAACATGTATGCTCCACTCTGATACTGCATTGTTTTTTAAAAATTCTTTTTCTTTTGTCTTTTAAAAAATTAATTGTATTGGTACATTTTAGATGTATATAATGATAACATTCATCATAGGGAATCTGTACCTGTACATGATATATCTTTTTTTTTTTTTTGTACCGGGGATCGAACTCAGGTCTTTGTGCTTGCGTGGCAGGTGGTAGAACCACTGAGCTAAATCCTGGGCCCTGTACATGCTATATCTTGATTCATCTTTTTTTCCCATTCCCCTCCCTGGCTCAGTACTGCATTATTTTATGCTTAGGATTTTCTTTTTCCAACTCCTTTAAAGGGGTAAAGCCAAGTATGGTGGCGCATGCCTGTAATCCCAGCACCTGAGAAGCTGAGGCAGGAGGATTGCCGTGAGTTCAAGGCCAGCCTGAACTGCATAGTGAAACCCTGTCCCAAAAAGCCAAAATATAAAAATAAAATAAAGAGGTAAAAGTGAGTCCAGTGTCACTGGCATATGCTGATCCTTGACTCATGATAGTCATAAGCAAGAGACGTTTAAGAAAAAAGGAGGAAGCTGTCATGTAGGGGAAGGCCTACCCTGTGATTTTCCTCTGTGTTGTAAATGTCCACATGCTGCTGAGATCTTGGTGGCAGAACTTAGGCACACACTGCTTTGAATTTCTGAGGACATGTAGGAGGATGATGGGGTTCTCCCCCGTTTTGCCAGCAGCATGACTATACTACTGGGGATTTTCAGCTTAGTTGCCATTTCAAGGTAGAAAATCTGTGATGTAGTTGTCACCGAGTTACAGAGTTGTCTTATGTGCATCCTCATTTCCTCTGAATATCTCTTACCAGCACACAGAGACTGGCGAGGAGGTGTTGCGGATGTGTGTGGCAGTAAAAAGGAAACTGCACCTCTATTTCTGGAAGGACAGGGAGTTTCATGAATTGCAGGTGAAGTCCACTGTTAATGGGTCCCTGGGTGGGGCGGGAGCTGCTGCTGTGGACAGCCTATAGCTTGACAGACTTCCTGTTTGGTTCTAGTGAAGTTTAGGATCCCCAGCTTATAGTCTCTCCACCCAGATACTCTGGTGTAAAGTAGCTGAGAACTTGTTCATGTCCACTTGTGATATAATTTTATAGCATTTGTGCAGATTGGTTTATTTCCAAGTGAGCTTTACATTCTCCAAGTGCACTTTTCCCCGTTCCTGTGTGACTTCTATTTTTATTAGGCATTGTTTCCTGGCACTGTGTTAAGAGAATTGTGTCCAGATGAGGGTGAGGGTTATTCTGCAGAATGGAAGTGAAATAATAGATCATAAGTTTTGTTTCTTTTTTTTTCTTCTCTTTTTCCTTTTAATGTCTTTTCACCTGTATTCCTACTCTCTTTTCAGGGGGACTTTAGTGTGCCAGATGTACCCAAGTCTATGGCCTGGTGTGAAAATTCCATCTGTGTGGGTTTCAAGAGAGACTACTACCTAATAAGGGTAAACCTTTTGATTTTGCAAATATCATCCATCAGTTTGCCTTGGGAAAGATGATTATGTACTTCTGAACTACAGGTCAGGAGACTACCTTAAGTACAGCTTTTGGCATATGAGGGTTTTTGTTTGGATATTTGTTTATATTTTGTGCTGTTAGCATTTTCCACAAATAAGGTGTCTGAGTAATTTAAGCCAAGCAGTGTCAGCTCTCAGTTCTCTATATAATGATTATCCACACCATGTATCTAATTATTAGGACTGATCATTAGGACTGCGCACATTTGCCCTGCTGTCCTCATTTACTTAAGTATTCTTAAGACTTTGAATCTCTTGCCTCCCCAAATCTCTTAGTACATTTGGTTTAAAACTTATTTCTGAGCTGGGCATGGTTATACACACCTGTAATCCCAGCACACAGGAGGCGGAGGCAGGAGGATCACTGTGAGATGGAGGCCAGCCTGACCTCCATAGCAAGACCGACCCTATCTCAAAAAAGGTTTTGTCACTGTTTTCTTATATTTCAAAAGGTACATACATGTATTATTATAAAAAATAAAAATAACAAAATCTAGATAAGGAAATAAAGGAAGTGCAAATCATCTGGAATTCCCCATTCAGAAATACAGTGGTACCTCAGTTCACAAATGTAATTTGTTCTACAATTTTAGAAAAGATGACCACATTTGTGTTACAGTGGGAAAGATGACTGCAGTCATGTTTGTTACCCAATGCAGAGTTTGCAAACAAAAACAAAATTTTGCCAAACACTTCTGTTTGTGAACTGAGGTACTACTGTAATTACTGAGGGATGGGAATGCAGCTCAGTGATAAAGCACTTACGTGGCATGCACAAGGCCCTGGATTCACTTCTCTAACACTGCAAAAAAAACAAAGTAAATAAAAAAGAGAAAGAAAAATTTGTTGAGCTTTTGGTATATGGGCTTCTATCCTTTTTATGAAAATATGTGTGTTTGTCACTTTTTCATCGCTAGGACAATATATCTGACATACACAACTTATCAGAAGCAAGGTTTATTTTGACTTAAGGTTTCAGAGGGTTTAGTCCATTGTTGACTGGCTCCAATGCAGAAATGGCATGGCAAAAAGGTCTAGCACAGGAACCTGCTCAACATAGTCAGGAAGCTGGGAGAGAGGGGAAGGCCAGGGAGAATACTGTACCCGCTTCCAAGTCACACCGCCAGTGACCACCTCCTCCAACAGGCTCTACCTCCTGGCAGCACACTCAGCTCTGAGCTCATCAGTAGATGAAGCACTGATAGATGTGTTTAAAGCTCTCGTGATCTGCTCACTTTCCAAAAGTACCACTTCTGAACACCTGAGACCTTAGGTGGACTTTTAAAAATCTAAACCATAATAACTTCATGTTATACACATTATTTTATAACCTGCTTTTTCTCTTAACCTAAATGGTAAAGATCCACATTTTTTCCCCTCCAATATGTGTACTCTATGTAGAAAATGTTGATACACCGTTCCGGTCATAGAATAATCTAAATCCCTTACCTTTACTCGATTCTATTGATCCAGACTTGGCAATTCTAGAAGCCTTTCTTCCTATTCCCCGATGTGGGAACTCTTTGTTGTTTACTGATATATTTGTTCCATAGTTTATTTTGGGAACGTCTTAATTTTATCAGCATCAGGGTTGCAAACCCCTGGAGGAATCACTACTGTGCAGCTGCCTAATATCAACAAAGCACAAGGCTGCAAAGCGGAGTCTGTGAGGGGTGGGGACCGAGCTGAAGCTGGAGCAATCTCTCCGTCCTCTTGACATGTTTGTCCATGTGTATGCCAGGTAGTGCTCTAACACTGAGCTACATCCCCAGCCTCCTTCACCTTCTTGAGAGTGCAGCATTCTAAGAGTAAGAAATCTTGCTTTAATTAAAAAATAAAACTTTTTGACATACAGTAAAATTTATTCTTCTTGATGCACAACTCTGGGTTTTAACAAGTGCCTAGACTTGTATGACTAACATCGTAATCAAAATACATAGCCATCACCTCACCCCAATTCCTTTAGCCCCGTGTTTGTCCAGCTCCCTAAACTTCAGTAACTACTGATTTGTTCTTTGTCTTCTAAGGTTTCATCTTTTCTGGTATGTCATGTAAATAGAATTAAACATTATGTAGCCTTTTGAATCTGGCTGGTTTCATTTAGCGTAATATGTTTGCCATTCACTTGTACTGTGTGTAACAATAGCTTTTTTTAAATGGCTGTTTCTGAAAGTGCCAGAATTTGTTACCCATTCATGTGTTGAAGATGAAGTTGTTTCTAATCTTTGGCAATTACAGTGAAGCTACTATGAACATTTGCATTCAGGTGCTTGTAAAAATGAATTTCCATTTGCCTTGGGTAAATGCCTAGAAGTGGGTTGCTGGGTCATGTGGTAAGTTTATGTTCAGCTTTATGAGAAAACAGCAAACAAAGGGGCTGTGCCTCCACCAGCAATGTATGGCAGCTCCAGGTGCTGTGCACTCCCCAGCGCCTGGCATAGTCCATTGCCAGGCCAGATACTTTTCTCTGCATTAGAGCGCTGGTCTTACGCTGTTGTAAAGTTTGTCATAACAAACAGTGTGATACTCATGTCAAACAAGGAATATTACTGGCCTCCCTGGTTGAGGTTTTGCCTAGACATTTCCAGAGTGTTCATGCCTCTGGCCAGGGAAAGCTGGATGACTCACTCTGTGTTTTCCTATAGGTGGATGGAAAGGGGTCTGTCAAAGAGCTCTTCCCAACAGGAAAACAGCTGGAACCTTTAGTCGCACCTCTGGCAGATGGGAAGGTGGCTGTGGGTCAGGATGATCTCACCGTGGTGCTCAATGAAGAGGGGATCTGCACCCAGAAGTGCGCCCTGAACTGGACAGACATCCCAGTGGCCATGGGTAAGGCCACTGGCTACTGCCCTTCCCTCTGTGGGCTGGGGCTGTGTTTTCCCTGTGGAACAGGGTCCCATCCATAGCTCAAGCAGGTTGCTTCGAATTGCGTTGGTCACTCTCGGTTCCCTTCTCAGAAGTACATGATGATGTTTCAGGGCCTTTAAAAACAGGACAGTCTAGTTTTTGCATGAAGCTGAGTTTTACTCAAGAGGGTTAAAATGTAAAAAGAAATGTACATTTCAGGAAGTGCTTGTCTACTGCTGTTTTTACTTCTTAGCTCCTTTTCTTCTATCTTTTTAATGGTTTTGTTATGTCCTATGCCAAGTAGTCTACATTTGGAAATTAGTGGAAATTCCTCATTTATTCCTATAATATATATAACTATTTTGAAGGGCTTTTGATGTCATGGTTATTGTTGCCATTGTTTTTGTAGCTTAGACACACAGGCTCCAGTTAGCTGACAATCTCTGACTTGGATATCAGGTGTTTCTGTTGCTCTGCCTGCCTCAGGTGCCCACCTCTGAGGCGGCATTTCCCGGAAGCATCTGCCTTTTTTTTTTCTTTTTTGAAACAGGATCTTGCTATGTAGTTCAGGTTGCCCTGGAACTCACTAGGTAGTTCAGGCTGGCCTCAAACTTGTGGCAATCCTGCCTCAGCCTCCCAAGTGCTGGGATTACAGGTGTGTGCCACTACACCCGGCTTCAGCATCTGCCCACTTTTGCAGCAGTTCCTTGGTGGCCAGAAGTATGAGCACTATTAACTAGTTCCTGCTGTGGAGTGGGGCACATGGACGGGCCTTGGGTCTCAAAGGACTCTAGCTTGGGAAGCAGGGATTATGTCTCAGGTAAAGAGACTGAACAAGGGCTGGGGATTTAGCTCAGTGGTGCCATGACTGCCTCATAAGCACAAGGTCCTGAGTTCCATCCCCCGGTACCGAAAAAAAGAAAAAAAAGAGACAGAATAAGGCCCTGCTTAAGATATTCCTTTGGATACATTAAACTTCAGTATTTCCCAGAGGGAAGTTCATTGTTTAACTAGGAAGAAGTTTCACTGCATAGGCAAGACTACTAGGATAGGTAGGGAGTTTGGACTCTGACTTGAAGAAAAATTCCCTTGCATATAAGGCAGAAAGAATAGTTGGAAGAGTGAGTGAAAGTGCAGAAACTGTGCTGATTTATGGGAGGCTGCTGCCAGGACTGAGCTGCTGAAGTGGTCTGTGGAAAGGGGGAGTCAATGGGGCCAGTTGCCAGCGGTCCAGGAACGGGTCCGAGAGGCCAGTAGGCTCCTCAGTGGTAATGGTCTTGATCAAAGCATTGTGTTCTGGTGATGGTTAGAGACATGTAGACCAGAAAGAAGGTAAACCAGAAGGGCAGTATTTTATTTTATCTATCTGTTTATTTATTTATTTTTAAAGAAAGAGTCTTGCTATGTAGTTCAGGCTGGCCTTGAACTCATGGCAACCCTCCTGCTTCTGCCTCCCGAGTGCTGAGATTACAGTGTGCCCCACCATGCCCAACTAGAAGTACAGTATTTTAGAAGGTCCAGGGTTGTGCATAGTAACAAGTATGGGAGCTAGGAGCTTCCCGGAGGCTTCCTGAGGTTCTAGGAGGCCTTGGCTTCTCTTCAGGTGAGGCAGCTTGGCAGATGAGGTAAAGATGCATGGAACTGTTTGAAATGTGTTTCTGGTTCCCCAGTACGGGAGTGCATGTTTGAAAACCTTCGCTGGTACCCCAGTGCCTTCCACAGTGCTTCACAGAAAACATGTCCATGGTTTAATTTCCAGGGCCACATTTTGAGGTCCTTCCTCTGACATCCTGTAGGCCGTAGGCAGGATTATATGGAATGTAGTCATGAAAATATTTATCTATCTATTTATTTATTTAATTTTGGATTTTTGAGACAGGGTCTCACTGTGTAGTCCAGGGTGGCCTGGAATTCACCTTGTAGCCCAGGCTGGCCTCAAACTGACAGTGATCCTTCTGCCTCAGCCTCCTGAGTGCTGGCATGCTCTGTGACACTTGGCTAATTTTTTTTACTTTTAATTATTTTTCCTTTCTGTAGAGCTGGGCCTCAAACCCAGGGTCTCCTGCATGCTAAGCAAGTGTCCTGCCACCAAGCTCTACCTCCGGTTCCTATTTTTATTATTTATTTATTTATTTATTTATTCATTTTTGGTACCAGGGATCGAACTCAGGACCTTGCACTTGTGAGGCAGGCGGCGGAACCACTGAGCTAAATCCCCGGCCCCCTATTTTTAAATTGGTGCCGTTATATTTAATTTCTTTCAAAAGTTCAGTAAAAAGTAGAGCAGACCCTCAGTCTTATTTTAAGTTTTTGTATTTTAAAGAAAATGTTCTGTGTTAAGTCTTTATCACACAACCTCTCAAACAAAAGAAAGCTTTCCTGGCAAGGGTTTGGGGCTTTTTACATGCTGGCTTCTTTAACACTTTTGTTCTGCTTCGCCAGCACTTTTAAGCTGTGGCTTGTCCCACACCTATCATATAGTACAGGAAGGAGAGAGTAGATATGGCTATGTGTCATTTTTAAAAAACAGAAAGAAACCGGGTATGGTAACACCTACCTATAATCACAGCTGCTCAGGAGGCTGAGTTGAGAGGGTCACAACTTAGTGAGCCCCTGCCTCAAAATAAAATTCTAGCCCATGAGAGTTAGAGGGGATGAAAGCATTCAGACCCTAACAGCCACTGAGTAGAGCGCTGCATCTGTGAAAATCTCAGGCAGAAATGCTGGGGAGGCATGTGGCTAGGGAAGAAACTGCCTATCTCTTCCTCTTTCTAAGAGGAAGAAAGAAGCAAGCTGTAGCCAGCTTCACCCACACTTCTCCCCTGAGCCTCACTAGAAGCTGCCACATCCAGCTTTTTGGCCACTTGGTGACTGAAGAGGAAGGGTACGCAAGGCCGTCATCCAGGATTTGAGGAAAGGGTAGCCTGGGGTCAGGTTCCTGTCGCAGAGCTGATGCATCCTATCTGTGCAGGAGAGTTCTCTCCTTGGCATCACTCAGGCCAAGCGATGTCTTCCCCTTTCTGTACCATGATGTCTGATCTTGGGGTGGGATTTGACCTGTGGGCTCTATGGAAGGTTCATTCAGATGCAATTTCACATGAGCCCCTGAAACAGCCTGCTCTCTCTTGCACAGAGCACCAACCCCCCTACATCATCGCAGTGTTGCCTCGATACGTGGAGATCCGCACACTTGAGCCGAGGCTTCTGGTCCAGAGCATTGAACTTCAAAGGCCTCGTTTCATTACCTCAGGGGGGTGAGCAATTTCTTTCTTCATTGTGGTTACCAGGCTGTCTCCAAGATTAAAGTCTCCATGTCATCATAATTCGGTGCTCTTCTCCTGATAATCTTACTTCTGCCTGCAGATCAAACATTATCTATGTGGCCAGCAATCACTTTGTTTGGAGACTCATTCCTGTCCCCATGGCAACCCAGATCCAACAGCTTCTCCAGGATAAACAGTTTGAATTGGCTTTGCAACTCGCAGTAAGTATTGTTCCTGAGATTTGTAATTGAGTCAGACTTCCCCCTTGTTCTCAAAAGGGCTGAATTTGGTGTAGATGTTCACATTTACTTTGGACTAGTGGAATGAGCACAGAGCTGAAAGGGGCCTTTGATTCAGGGTCTATGTTAAGATACCTGTGGAATTCTATGTGATTTTACTTTTTCACTTTGTTAATCTGTTCAAATATAGAATGAACTGGGTGTGGTGGTATAATCCCAGCACTCAGGAAGCTAAAGCAAAATTGCCTCGGTTTGAGGCCAGCCTAGGCTACATAGTGTGTTCAAGGCTAGCCTGAACTAGTAAGACTCTGTCTCAAAACAAATAAAACACAGCAAATATAGGATAAATGCCAATTATAATAATTAGCATTCTATAGAATTAGAGAATAAAATAATAGCTCTTTTTTGTTTTGAAAAATTAAAGACAGTAGAAACATTGCAAGTACAGTAATGGTTATAAATGTAATATTACAGTCTAGTTGAATGTAGCAACTCAAGGGCCCCTCTGTATCGGAACAGGAAAGGGGACATCGCCAGAACCTGTGCCGTGGCTCCTGGCCTGCCTCCTGTGAGCCATGACAGCACAAGGTGAAAGAATAAAGACAGGAAACGAAACTTAGAGTAAAGATGGGTCTTGGGACCTGATCGATGCTGCTCTGGGCAGCAAAGACAAAGGCCCCCAAGTGCATCCAATATTTATTGAATATAACCATGGGAAGGAATAGGAAGCTGGGTATGCTCTGAAGACATCTATGAAATACTGCCGAACACCTGGCATGATGGCGCCAGGCAGGGTTGTTAGGAAGTAAGCATTGCTTATTTTGCTTGGGTAGAACAAACAGGTACTGGTACCGGGTACAGTTAGCAAGCAACCATCAGGTTAGTGAGAATCCATAAGTCAGGGGAAAGCATTTTAATTGGGTCTTGCTGACCTCAGCTTCATGTAATTCAGCAGATCCCTGCCATTTCATAGACCAGGATTTAGGTTTCAGTGACAGCCATAAGCAAAGAAGCAATACTAGCCCAACTCTGCTACCTGACATGCCCACTGAGTCACATAGGACTTCAGTCTGACTCCTGACTGATATAAAATAATAGAGCTGAATTAGGGAAAGCAAGAACCATGTGCCACTCATAGCCCGTTAGTACTGGGCAGGGATGTCTGCTACACCTCTGGATTGGTTTCAAAGGTAGACTTGTATGTTGGGATGAGTAACTTTCCTTAGATACTCTGAAACCACCTCAGGATGTTACATTCAACCAGGGTGCAGTCTGATACTTAATGATTGGTACTGTATTAATCAGCTTGTCACTCTAACAAATACCAGGTACAATTTACTTATGAAGAAAGGAGGTTTATTTAGCTGGGTTTTGGTGATTCAAAGTCCAAATGGCATAGTGCAGGATTTATGGAGAGTGCTGCTCATTGGCTCTGCCATACCCTGGCGTGGATAGCAGTTGAGCACAAGCAAACAATTACATCTCCACCCAGAAGCAGGCAGGACAGGCGGGGCTGGAGCTGCTCCTTTCATATCAGCCTCTTCTCAAACTCCCCAGGAGCGAATGGCATGGGATCCACCCCATGTACCCAGTCATCTCTGGGCTTGCCACCAGGCCAGTTCTTAAAGGTCCGCACCCTCTCCCAGTGCTGCCACACTGGGGACCTGGTTCCCCGCGCTTGAACCTCTGGGGTTGGGGCAGGGCACACAGTCTTTAAACCACAGTAGTTGTCCTCCTTTATGTTTTCGTGGAATGTTGCTAACAGCAAAGCAGTTACTGTGCCCTTGTTCCAGTGGGGCTCCCATGGCCAGTAGCCATTTTGGAGTTGACCTTCAGAGTCCAGGTCCTATTCTTATAAACATCCTCAGTAATGATGATTATAATCTGTAGAGAGTGTGTTTGATTTCAGAAATGACAAAAGTCATTCTGAGCATAACCTAGACAATGCAAATTTAAAGAAATTTGGATGAAGATAATAAGAGTAAAAGTTAATTTCTAAGCTTGGGTAGTGATGCACACCTGTAATGCCAGCACTAGGGAGGCTGAGGCAGGAGGATCACAAGTTCAAAGCCAGCCTGGGCTACTTAGCAAGACCCTATCTCAAAAAAAAAAAAGGTCTGGGAATAAGCACAGCCATACACTGACAGTGCTTGGGCTCAGGTAGCCATAGGGAAGGGAAGAAGGGAACTGAGACATTGTGAATAAGAAATTAGAGTTGGAAAAGATTGATTAAATGGGATATAAGAGGGGGAGATAATCAGAAGAAACAAGGCTGTTAATTGCCTCATTTGTTGAGCTTTTGCTGTAAGTAGGACATTTCCCCACTGTGCAGGTCTCACCAGATGTCTCATTTATTGATCATGCCATGTTCCCTGTCATTTCAGGGCCTTGCACATGCCTTTCCCTTTTGCCATGAGCACACCCTCCTCCTCCCCTCCCTTCCAGCCCCTTGGCTGACTGCAGCTCACCCTGCCACCCCAGTCTGGTCCCTGCTGGCCTGGCCTGGACCCCTGCTCAGACTGCTTCTGCCATCGTGCTTATCCCATCTCATTTTGGGCTTTTGTTTTAAAACTAATTTCAAGACTTTATTCAGACTTGACCAGTTTTTCCATTACTGTCCTTTTTTCTATTCCAGAATCAAATCTGGAAATTGTGTCGCATTTAATTGTCACATATGTTTAGTGTCCTCACGCCTCTGACAGTGTCTTCCTCTGACCTTGGCAATTTTCAGGAGTACTGATAAGGCTGTTTGCAGAAAGCTCCATGTTGGTGCCATGCACACTTGAGCTTCTGTGAAGAGCATGCTGAATATGTTTGTCAGGTCAATGAGCACTTATCTGTTCTACTCTCTTTGTCAGGAAATGAAAGATGATTCTGACAGTGAGAAGCAGCAGCAAATCCATCACATCAAGAACTTGTATGCCTTCAACCTCTTCTGCCAGAAGCGCTTTGATGAGTCCATGCAGGTCTTTGCTAAGCTTGGCACAGGTAATGGCTGGTGTGGCCTTGGGATGGGAGTTTATGAGGGTGGGAGCCCAGATGGTTCGAGGAGCAATGATCCTGACTTCTGAGAATGGGGGAAACTAATTCTCCTCAAACCTGATGCTCATGCCTAGCAAGATCCTGTGGTAGCTACAGTGGTTGCATATCTACAGGAATCTTAGGAATCTGTTCTCATCTGTAAATACAGACTTGCAATTTTCAGAACATGCATATACTTGATCAGCTAGTGTCTATGGAATGCTGTCTTAATCGGAAGTCCCTGAATTAAACAGTAGATTACATTCTAGAGCCAACATAAGACAATGCCACAAAGTCCTCCCTTAGCATCCTAAGATGTCTCTTGATGCCCAGGTGTGCTAATGAGCAGGTGCATTGGCAGCAGCCGGACTGAGCTCAGCCAGGGCTTCTGGACCTCTGTGTGCATCTGAATTCCCCTTTACAAGAGGTAGACAATGCTGATGTTTGCCTTGCAGTGCTGCTATGTAGATGAGTCTATTGGGGGGCATTGTACCCTGTGTTGTCACTACTGTCATTAAACTTGGCATTTCTGCATGTTCAGTTTTTGCTTGAAGTGGATCAGTCTATATATGCTTGGTTTACTTCTGAATCATACTGTAATCTTTTCTTTCCTCCTCCCCTTTACTTTGCCTTTTCTTCACCATCCCTCAATCCTGGCCAGTAATGCCCTGTGGTAACTCTTGTATCTGTTCACTTTCCTTGTTGTAAACAAGGAGGCCAATTCTGAATACCTTCAGCAGAATCTGATTAGTGAAGCAGGGTGTACTGGAAGGTCAGGGAGTTGGCAGTGGAGGAGCTATACAGTTGATAAGAGGCCAGGCTTCTGGGGGTACTCCCAGCAGAAAGCAGGAAGCAGGACAGTAATCACTGTGTAGCCAGGACAGGCTGGGCAGTCCGGCTCAGGTGTAGCCACCTCCTTGGCTGGCCTTCCACCTCCCCTGTTACTGTGTCCTCAATAAAAACTGCCCCCACCAATGTGTTAGTGATCTAATGCCATGTAACAGATCACCCTGAAACTTAGTAGCCCATGGTAGCCATTACCTTTTCTTGCATTATTGGGTAAGAATTTGGTAGGGCGCAGCTCTTGCTTCAGGTCTGTTGTGCAGTTGCAGTTGTGTGTCAGCTGGGCTGCTATCATGGACTGAGCCAGAGGATACATTTGTAAGCTGGCTCATTCTTCTGGCTGACTGTGGGGCTGGGGGGGCCCTCTGTTCTTGTCCAAATGGGTCTCTCCAAAGAGCCACCTGAGTATCCTCATGCATAGCAACTGGTGTTTCCCAGAAGGAGAAGCCTCATGCCCTTTGTGACTGTCTCTTTTGCTGCATTCTGTTCACTTTCAAGGATCCTTCCAGGATAAAGGCAAGGGAAAGCCATTTTACCTCTTGGTGGAAGAGGGTCATCTCATGTCATACCTAGGACCTGGCCCTCACTGCTTGTCATCCTGCTTTTTCAGAGGTCCAAGGGATCTTAGCTTGTGTCAGCCAGATTAAGTCATGGTTATACTGTCCCATGGGTGGGAAGGGGTGCTTGGTACCTCTGCTTCTGAAGTCTAAGGCTGTCCTCCAACCAAGACTACATACAATGTAGAAAAGGGAGCTTGCCAAAAGGACATAGTTGCAGTAAAAAGGGAGATGGAGCCAGGTGTGGTGGAACATGCCTGTAATCTCAGCACTCTGGGAAGCTGAGGCAGGAGACTGCCATTAACAGCTTAGTGAGACTGCATCTGAAAATTTTAAATAATAAAAAGGGCTGGGTGTGTATCAGTGTGAAGGCCCTGGGTTTAATCCCTGGTACTGGAGGAAAAAAAAAAAAAAAAAAAGAAGAGGGATGGGTGCTGAAGAGCCTGAAATTGATAAATGTCTCCTCTCCTTTCTCTAGATGAACTTAACCCCTGGACTTCATTTTCAGGGCACTACCTGCTCTTTGGGAAGAGTAAGATAGAACTGTTATAGTAATGTGACCCTTTTTCCTTTGCCAGCAATACTTGTACTCCATAATAAAGCTTTAAAGTCAGCCCTAATGAAGCCACTGCCTTTGAATGGGTTTATTCTGCAAATCATCCTGAGTTCATACCGCAGTGCACTGTGCTGCATCCCAAGCAGCAGTATCAGATGGGATTCAACTTTCACAGAGCTGTCCCATGTGGGAAGTGAGGCTCTGTAGACCTGTTGTGCATCAGGGCACACCTGCTGGTGACAGTGTTGTCTGGAGGGTAGCTAGCTATGGACCACATTGAAGTGACACCTCCTTCGACTGACTTCATTCTAAGTTCTGGGCCTTAGGTCCAGATTCCCAGACATTGTCAGACCCCAGGTGATGGGCTGACCCCAACCAAAAGCACATGAATATTCTTTTGTTTACTTATATTTACAGTAGAGAGACTAGATCCCTTTCTGATGACCCATACCTGATACCCACGATATTCTTTGTTATAGTTTGTGTCTTGATGTCCCCACAAAGCCTCATGCACTCAGAGGTGGGGCTTTTCAGAGCTGTCTGGATCTAGGGTGTGTAATACTAGGATTAAAGGTGTGTGGTACTAAATTAGCCCACTGATTGGTTTGGCATAGTTCTGGGTGTGGGTGGCACCAGCTATAATGCTTGTAGCCTGTATGGGGTAAAAGGGAAAGGGAGGCTCACTGCTTTGCTGCTTGCTGCTTTCCTGCCTGCCTTGTCACGAACTGTTTCTTCTCTGTGACACCCCTCTGCTGTGCCACACTGCCTTGGAATTAGCTGACTATGTACTGAACCTCTACAAACTGTGAACCAATATGAACCACCCTCTCCTGCTTTAACTTGTGAGTGTTGGGTATTTTGTCTCAGCAATGAGAAAAGTAACTAAGACACTTTTCTATGTATTGTAGTATAGGCATTTTTGCTATGATTCCTTGTATGTGGTTATGAGAAGTACCAGGGCTTATGGGAAAAATGAGGTTGGAATGAACCATCTGAAGACTATAGCCTTGTGACTTTGTAAGCAGAGCACATATAAAAACAGCAACAATTCTATGGCATTTAAATTTTCCCTGGTGTTTATACCCTACATGGTCCTTTGCAGTCTTAAACCCTTGGTCTGTGCTTGTTCCTATGAGATGCAGTTCTCTGAGGACATTTGATTCCAGTAGAAACCAGTCTCATTAAAAACAAAACAAGACTTATTTTGAGTACTGTATAGATTTTTTTTTTTTTTGGTACTGGTGATCGAACTCAGGTCCTTGCCCTTGCGCAGCAGGCGACGAAACCACTGAGCTAAATCCCTGGCCCCATATAGACTTTTTTTATGAGACTGAAAAATATTAATATGGGTAAATGTTGGCTTCATCATTTGTACTGTCAGCTTCCCCAGATGGGTCAGTTTAATATAAAGCATAGTGGTTCTTGAAGCTGCTAAATAGCTGCTACTTGCACTAAAACAGCACCTTTCCATAGGATTTAAGTCTTTGTATGTAGTTGAGGCTTTTTCTCTTACTATGAGATTCTTGCTTGTGGTCACTTCAAAATGTTAAACAAGTTGGGGAGAATCGAGCGTAGACCAAGAGACATTGCATCCTCTAACAGTGCCACTGTTCTCCTGCTGACCAAGTGCGTAGAAACACATCACACTCACAGAACCAGCTTTGTGGTACTCAATGCCACGGTAGAGACTACTTTGCCAGTACAGGACTGGAGCACATGGAAGTCATGTGGCGGCCGCTCTCACCTGAGCCAGAGGGCACACCTTGCAGGGAATGGTCTCAGAGAGCTGGTTGTGGCATGCACCAACCCCTGGGCCCCCTTCCCCCAGGGCAGGGAGGACTGTGCTAGGCCTCTGCCTTCTCTTGCCGGCCCCTCTTCTGTGTCTTACAGATGGCCCCTTGGAGGGTGTCATTGTCAGTCATCTTTCTTGAGTGGTGTTTACTAAGTCTGCGAATGACCCGAGACTCACAATCTTGCTTATGCGTGGGATTTCCTAGAGAGAGGGCCAGTCCCTTTTGTCAGATTCTGAGATGTCTGGGAGTCCATCAGTACCTGCTGTGGGACCCCAGCTGTGGGCTGCTGCCCCCAGGCCACCTTTCTCTGTGCATAACAGGCGAGAATGCACAGTGTGAAGGCTGGACTTGGGATCTTTACAGGATGCTGGGCGAGCAGACTCACCACCTTGATGCCCTGGGGTCTGGGTCTTGGTGGTGGGGTGGGCGCTGTGTAATGGCAGGAGTTTGAGTGGGAGAGGTATTACATTTCTTGAAACTTATATTTAAGTCTTAAAATTGAGCCTTGGGGCCAGGGATTTAGCTCAGTGGTTCCGCCGCCTGCCTCGAAAGTACAAGGTCCTGAGTTTGATCTCCGGTGCCAAAAAAAAAAATTGAGCCTCAGTCTGTTCACTTGGTTCAAGTTCTGTATTCACTATATATTCTTATTTTTTCACTCAGTATATTAGAGGCTGATCTGCGTAGAAAGAGGGGTGGATGGTGAGGGCTGAAGGAAGACAATAGAGGGCCAGGGATTTAGCTCAGTGGTTCCGCTGCCTGCCTCGCAAGTGCAAGGACCCGAGTTTGATCCCCGGTACCAAAAAAAAAAAAGAAAGAAAGACAATAGAGATATGTGTAATTTCATAATACATGGGGAGCTGTGAGGTCAGTGCCTCAGAGTGGGCAAAAACAAAGACACCCCGAGCTTGCCACTCTTTATTGGGTGCATACAATAATCAGAGGGCGTATTGGGTGACTCAGAGGGCAGCGGGGATCTTAGGTTAATGAGGATCTGTGTTGATGAGGACTGTGAGATGGGCAGAGCATTCTTACAATAGGAGATGGGACAAGATAGCAGGCTAATAAGGAATTTGTCCTTTTCCCCAGACGAGACCTCTTGTTTATATTACTACTCAGTTCTCAAAGAAGCAGGGTGTCTTCAGCTGATGTAATCTTGCCCTTGAGCATCACAGTATCAGCACCATGGAGGCTTCAACTTGTGACTGAAGGCAAAACAGTTGTTTCTGCATGCCACAGCCGGCTCTAGGGCAAAAAGACATTGGGCCTTAGACAGTCCTAATCATAATTTAATTATGAAATGATTTTCCCCCCAAATTATATAAAATGGCTCTCAACATCAGGAAATCTTTATCGTGTTTCTACAGGTACTGAGACTGTTCTAGGTGCCAAGTAATGGGGTTTATATTCTGGTGGGGAGGCAGTAGGTGACAGCAAATAAGCAAACTTAGTGCTAAGTGCTAAGGCCATCGAGGCTGGAGGAGAGCTGATTTGTATCTGTCGTCGTGCATATGGGATAGCATTTCATTGTTCATAATGTCTCTGTATTATACTGGGGTTTCTGTATGTGGCATGAGTTGAACTCAGAACACATTGTCCCCAAAGCAGATCAGATAGGCATTGTCGGTCCCGGGTCTGCCTTCCATCCTTTGGGGCTTCGGGGCTGAATGAGACATCAGAGGCCCACCAGGAGCTCCCATGCGAACCACTTGGGGTGACATGGGTGTGAGATAAAAATTCTCCTGAGCACGAGTAAGGGAGAGGAGAGGTGAGGGCCCCCAAGGTGCTCAGGAAGCATAGAATTGTAATGAGGTGCAGAGACAGGGGAGCTGTACGGCGTCCAGAACCTGGAAACCGGGCCCAGTGCCAGGTGTGCTGGTGGGTGATGGGCCCTGCCAGAGAGACACGGTACAGCCGGGTGCTGCAGAGGAGCCTGGGTTTCCCCAGGCCTTGGGAACGTCACCAGGGCTTGGGTTTTCTGCTGTGTGTGCCGAGAACTAAAGCCAGAGCCTCAGGTGTGCTCAGCAAGTGCCAACAGGAGCTGAGCGCCGGCCCTCATCACAAGGCTTAAAGCCAAGCTGTGGGATCCACTTGGAGACCAGAAGTTTGGTGCAGGGGTGGGCGGGTCCTCATCGGGGGCCTCGAGTTGGTTCCCTTGCAGTTCCCAGCAGCCGCCTTCCTTCCTCAGACTCGTTTCCAAGGGACACCAGTGGAGTGCTCTTCACCGGCTATTGTGATTTTTCTCATCCTGAAGGACAGGGTCTTCGTGAGTGGGCAGAAATGCATTGCCAGATAGAGGTGACAGGGGTAGTGGGGTTCTGGGGGGTTCAGGCCAAGATATTATTCAGGCCTTCTGGTCGCCTGGCCAAGGACTCGCATGCATTGGAAGGGATGTAGCCCGTTTTGCCCCACCCTTGACATTTTCCTAAAGGAAAATAAAAAGCTTATATGAATGGGAGGAAAAAACTTTAAGAAACCTGGATCCAAGCTTGATGTTGTGGCATATGCCATAATCTCAGCTACTTGGGAGGCTGAGGCAGGAAGATCACAAGTTCAAGACCAGCCTAGGCAATTTAGTGAGATAGACCCTGTCTCAAAATTAAAAAAAAAAAAAAGAAAGAAGGAAAGTCGGGCCTGTACCTCAGTGACAGAATGCCTCTAGCTTCAAGTAACATAATTATGCTCGTAAAGCCATACACTTGTATAGCTTTGGCCACTGTGTTGCTGTGTGTACTTTGTAGTTGTAATTTACAGCTATAGTGTTCTTAGTGTTCTTTTCAGTTGGATTAAGCACACTTTATTCCTCTGTTGAAGGAGTTATCCATTGTTTCCAGAATTACATTGTTACAAGTAATACACTCCTCATACATATTATGGGATTTTTTTCCCTTTAATCTTTTGGATTATTTTCTTAGGTTAAATTCCTAGCAGGAGATGAGGGCATCCAAGTACTCTTTTCTTCATTCTGATAGCAGCATGAGGATGATTGAGTTTCACAGTAATGCATGCAGTAGGCAGTAGCACATAGTAATAACTGTGTAATTAAATCGGTATAAAAATGTCACTAGGGTTGGAAGGCTGAAGCAGGAGGATGATTAAAAGAAGGGCTGGGGATGTATGTAGCTCAGCACTTCCTGGGTTCAATCTCCAGTAACCCCTTCCCCCAGTCTCTTCTTACGGTATATACATTCAGTGGAATATTATTCAGGCATTAAAAGGGATGAAATTCTAATATATGCCACAAAATAGGTGGACCTTGAGACATTGTGCTAAGTGAAATAAGCCTTCAAGTTATAAGACATACCTGTAGTAGGACAGAGGTTACCAGCAGCTGGAATTGAGGGAGCAGCAACCATTTATTGGGTATGGAGTTTCAGTCTGGAGAATGGAAAGCTCTGATGGTGGTAAAGGGTGAACAGCAGTGGAAATGGATGCAGTGCCCCTGAATGTCCACTCATTAGTGGTTAGAATGATAAATGTTGTGCTGCATCTGTTTTACTATGATACACACAGACCATTGGATGGGTTGGAAGAGTGGGGATAAGTCCCTGTGACTGGATGTTGGCTTCCTGGCCACATCCCGTGACCCAGAGCCTGGCAGCTGCTTCATCTTCCTGTGCTTGGCCCTACAGCTTCCAGCATTCTCACAGGACTGGCAAGAGGCCCAGCAGATGGGCAGTCACCTGTGATGAGGATGAACTGATGACAAGACTCAGAGATGGGTAGGCTTGGGGGCGACCAGACTCAGGGACAGCTAGACCCAGGGACAATGGGACACAGGGACGACTGGACTCTGGGACACCTAGACTTGGATATAACTAGGCTTGGAGATAACTAGACCCGGGGATGACCAGAGTTGGGGACAACCGGACTCGGGCTATGCTGAGTCTAGCTGTAGGCACTGACGGGCTGTGAAGAGAGAGGACTCTCCCACTTCCAGAGGCCAGCGCTTCTTGGCAGAACCCTGAGAAGTCTGTGAAGGTGCTTCACACTGCTCAGGAGTGGGAGGGAACACAGAAAGAGCTGGGAGTGCGGGTGCCCACAGCAGCGGTGTGCCAGCACGGTGGCCGGCTAAGTGTTCAGCCAGTCCACATGGCAGGTGGGCTTCTGTTTGTATCTATGAGCATCCGTGAGATTGCAGGGAATTTAGGGAGTAAAAAAGTAAATTTCACCTCTTTGACATTTCATTTTTAACGTAGCAAAACTTTTTTTTAATCTTTCTCTTATCAGTTCTTTTGTCCAAGAAGGATCTTACAATTTATTACCAGTTTGTGTGAATTTGTTTTATATAATCAACACCTTTCCTTTATTTTTTGGAGGTACTGGGATTGGGCCTAGGACCCCACGCGTGCTAGGCAAGCACTCTGCCACCAAGCTGTATCCCTAGCCTAGTTTTGTATAATCAGCATAGTAACCTCTTACCCATGTATATCACAAATACATTCCCTGGCCTGTTGTCTGGGGTTTTTAAAAACTAACTTGTTTTTTGTCATGTATATTTTTTATTGTCTATTGACATGTTTCATTTCAATATTATCAATTTTCTCTTGGAATTTTTTAATATTCTACTTTAGAGAGTTGATAAACATTCATTTCTAATTCTGTGGATGTACCTGTGCCATGGAAGACAGTCATGCCATTTTTATAATGTTTTAGAGAAATATATGTGTAATATTTAAATCATCTATACCTGCTCATTGAGTCTTTCTGAATATAGAGGCATTCCTTTAAAAAAAATCAGTCTGGGCCAGGGAGTTAGCTCAGTGGCACCGGGTCTGCCTTGCAAGCACAAGGTCCTGAGTTCGATCCCCAGTACTGCAAAAAGAAAAACAAATCAGTCTGGAACTTACTTTGCTGCTATCGTAATCTTGTTTTATCCTTATTGTTAGGCTCTTTTCCAGAAGACTCACATTTTCCTTCCTTGCAGATCCCACCCATGTGATGGGCCTGTACCCTGACCTGCTGCCCACCGACTATAGGAAGCAGCTGCAGTACCCTAACCCGCTGCCCGCGCTCTCGGGGGCTGAGCTGGAGAAGGCCCACTTAGCGTTGATCGACTACCTGACACAGGTAGGTTCTGTGCAGGGGCAACAAGAGTTCGCCTGAAGTTCATTACCTGTTTCTCTGTAGCAGGGACTTGAGGGACTCGAGTGATGTCCCCAGCATGCTGTAAGTAAGTGCTACTGAAGTCTGTGTGGGCTGCTGTTCTCCCAAGTTCCCGGTATCATCGAGCTGTGTTTTGCCAACTCCTAAGGAAACTTACAGAATTCCTAGTAAATTCATATTAAGTTCTTATAGGAACTACAGTGGACCCTTGAGTTATGACCAGCCTAACATACAAACAACTTGGGTTATGACTGGAATTGCAGTTTTAACTTACAAACAAAGACTTGAGTTACAACCCAAATGCCAGCTGCTTGTGCTTCCAGATGATCTCAGCCACAGATTTAACTCTTTTTTTTTTTTGGTACTGGGGATCGAACTCGGATCCTTGTGCTTGTGAGGCAGGCACTGGAGCCACTGAGCTAAATCCCCGGCCCCACAGATTTAACTCTTAAAGAGTTCTGGAAGGAACATTACAGCATCCTTTCCTGTGTGGGGTTGATTAAGAAATCCTGGGCCAGTGTCTCTGTAAGGACACTGAGATCTGCCTGTGTACGGGAGAGAGACTTTGAAGGCTGTGTAGAGGAGCCTGAGCCTTCAACTGACCAACCTGAGTTACAACCAGCCCTCACAAACGAATTGAGTTCGTAAGTCAAGGATCCACTGTACCAAGGGTACATTTTAGTTCATAGAAGAGAGCTAAATTTTTTTTAAACAAATTTTTTCATACCATACATAATTATGGGGAAAATACCAGCATAGAAAAATCCAAAGCAGAAATACAAATTGCTAAATAACTCTACTCTCAGAGGTAAGTAACTAACATTGTAGTATTGTTCTCTTAGACTTTTACCTGTGTTTGTTAACTTTTGTTTTTATTTTTACTATTTATGTATTTATTTTATGCAGTGCTGGGGATTGAATCCAGGGCCTTTTAACTGAGCTATGTGTCCCCTCTTTTTTAGGTTTTAAATTTTGACACAGGAACTCACTAAATCCCTGCATTGCCCAAGCTGGGCTTGAACTTGTGATCCTCCTGCCTCAGCCTCCCAGAGTATAGGGATTATATTGCACCACTGTGCCCAGCTACTTTAATGTACTTTTTATTGATTTATTTGTCACAAATGGACATCAAACTGTAAATCCTGTTCTATAGCTTACTTTTTAAAATTAAGCCATATATTGAGAAATTTCTTGTCAATAAATATTTTTCTGTAACATGCTTTTTGAGATTTATATAGATTAAAATCATTTTTCAGTTTATGGACAGTTAAGTGAAATTTTAAAGTCAACATTAAAACTAGTCTCCATTGAAGCCTCTTAACCTAACCTGCAGTTTCTGTCACTCAGGGCTCTATTTTTTTTTTTTTTTTTTAGCTTGGTTGTTTCAAATTTTTAAAACCTTTTATTTTATTAGTATATGCTTGTAATTCATGCAGTTTACAGTCATCTTGGGGAGTGGTTCTATGTACATATTACAGCTTGTTTGGTTTCTTTCTTCCCCTCCCCTCCCTCTCCTCTGGTTCCCAGTCATGCCTTTTTTCATGCCTTTTGGCACTGTCTGTCCTAGCACACGCTGTGGCTTGTGTCTGCATTGACTGCTTTTATTAGGTTCCTGTACACGACACATCTTACACAAAGCTCTTGTTAACTCTCTGTGCATCCATTCAGGGTCGGAGACATAATGAATGTTTTCTCCTCTGTAACTATTCTGCTGACCTTTGTTAGTGGTCTCCTGTAGGCACAAGAAGTATTGTGGGAAAAGTTGTAATACTGCCTTCTACTCCATGTCTGGCTCAGTGTGTGCCTACAGGCCTGATGGGCACACTTCGCCTTGACACTCTTTTATTTTTAATTTTATTTTATTGGTACATTTTAGGTATACAGTATAATGACATTCATCATTGGAAATTTGCACCTTTACATAACCTCTCGGTTCTTAGGTTTTCCCCCTTCCCCTGCCCTCACTTCAACCCCTCCATCCCTTCCTATTTACAGAGACTTTGTTTCCATTTTTTCATTTTCTCATAGTAATTCCATTCCCTTCTTTCCTTTCCCGTACTCCTCCCACTTCCCCCTCCCCTTTGCCCCTTTTCTTCCTATTTCACATTACCTATTATACCTTTTAATCCTTATTTACACTTTCAGTTTCTCACACTAGAGAAACTATTCGGTATTTACACATAGGTGTCCTATTTATTTCACTTAAGAGTATCGCCTCAATGTGCATCCACTTAGCTATAAATATCTCTAATTTCTTGTTTTTTATGGCTGAGTAGTACTCCATTTTATAAAAAAACCCACATTTTCTTTATCTAGTCTCCAGTTGATGGGCACTTGGGCTATTTCCAAGCTTTAGCTATTACAAACTGTGCTGCTATGAACATGGGCACACATATATCACTGTGGTATGATTCTTTTAATTCTTTGGGGAAGATCCCCAGCAGGGGAATAGCTGGGTCAAATGGGACCTCTAGCCCTAGTTCTTTGAGGTATCTCCATACTGACTTCCACAGTGGTTGCACCATTCCACACTCCCACCAGCAGTGGAGCAGGGTTCCTCTTTCCCCACATCCCCACCAGCATTTGTTATTGGTTGATTTCATGTTAGCAGCCATTCTTTCTGGGGTGAGGTGGAATCTCAGCGTTGTTTTCATTTGCATCTCTTAAATGACCAGTGATGTTGAACATCACATATGTTTATATGTTTTTTTCATATGTTTATTTGCTATTTCTACTTCTTTGTCTGAGAAATGTCTGTTCATTTCAGATGGCCATTTTCGGATTGGGTCTTTAAATTTGGGAGGTCTGATTTTTTTAAAGTTCTTTATAGATTCTAGATAGTAGACCTTTGTCTGAGGAACAGCAGGTGAAAATTTTTTCCCACATTGTGGGTTGTCTCTTCACTCTGTTGGTGGTGTCTCTTGCTGTGTAGAAGCTTTCAAATAAGATGAGATACCACTTGTTGATTGTTTGTGCTAGTTCACCATGAACTGATGTTTTGTTCATAAAATCTTTTCCTACACCAATGTCTTCAAGAGTTCTACCTAACCTCTGTTCCAGCCGGTTCAGCATTTCTGTTTTAATATTTAGATCTTTAATCCATTTTGATTTTAGTTTAGTGCATGGTGAGAGATACAGGTCTAGTTTTAATCTTTGGCAAGTTGAAACCCGCTTTTTCCAGCATCATTTATTAAAGAGGCTATCTTTCTTCCAGTGAGGGTGTTTAGCTCCTTTGTCAAAGATGAGGTGGGTGAGTGTGTCTAGCATTGTTTCTGTATCTTCTGATCTGTTCCACTGGTCTTCAGGTCTGTTTCTTTGCCGGTACCATGCTGTTTTTATCACAGTATCTTTGTAGTATAGTTTCAAGTTGGGGGTTGTGATACCCCCGGTCATATCTCTGTTGCTTAGAATTGCTTTTGCTATTCTGGGTCTCTTCTTGTTCTGAATGAATTTTTGGATTATTTTCTCACGGTCAGTGAAGTATGGTGCTGGGATTTCAGTTGGGATTGCATTGAATCTATATAGCAGTTTTGGAAGTATGACCATTTTCAATATATTGATCCTTCCTACCCAGGAGCAGGGGATGTCTTTCCATTTTCTGATATCATCTTCAGTCTCTCTTTTCAGAGTGCTATAGTTTTCAGAGAAGAGATCTTTGATTTCTTTTGTTAGGTTGATTCCTAGGTATTTCAGGGTTTTGGATGCTATCGTGAGGCATACTTAGCCTTGGCACTCGACATTGGGCTCCTGGGTACCCAGCTATGGCTGGCAGGCTGTCAGGAGCCCACACAGTCACCTCTGCTTGCACACTGCACGGCCCTGGGCCAAGTGAAAAGGTTCCTGGGATGTGATCTTCCCCGTGGCCTGTGGTGTTATAGTGCTCCCTCTACCCATAATTGCATATTCTTCCTTGGTCTTCTGCACTGATACTGGAAATGTGTCAAGTTAACCAACACCAGGATTGTGCCAGAGTTAAACACCTAAGACCATGGGCTTTGCCAAATGCAAAAAAATGCAAACTGGTTGATTCTGCTTGTGTAAATTAGAATAGACAACCCAGGCATGGTGATGCATGCCTGCAATCCCAACACGCAGGAGAGGGAGATAGGAGGATTGGTCCAAGTTCAAGGCCAGCCTGAGCTATGTAGTGAGTTTCAAACCAACCTGGATTGTATAGAGACCCTGTCTCAAAAAAAGCAGGGGGGGATTTCGCTCAGTGGCACTGCGCCTGCCTTGCAAGCACAAGGTTCTGAGTTCAATCCCGGGTACCAAAATAAAAAAAAGAACAGGCAAAAACTGATCTCAAAAATAAATAGGTAAGAGCTGTCACTGTGTCTGGCAGTTTGGTTGACATCTGTTTTGATCCGTAAGAAAAACTGAATGCTAAAGTGTGATTGTTGTTGATAGAGTTGAGCTGGTTTGGAGGTAGCCTGAGTTAACCAGCAGCCCAGGGTGACAGAAGAAAGCTGACTGGGGCCTGGCCTTGACCCCATGTGGTTGGCCTTTGCAGAAACGAAGTCAGTTGGTGAAAAAGCTGAACGACTCTGACCACCAGTCCAGCACCTCCCCGCTCATGGAAGGGACGCCCACCATCAAGTCCAAGAAGAAGCTGCTGCAGATCATCGACACCACCCTGCTCAAGTGCTACCTCCATGTGAGTGGCCTGGCCCTGGAACTCCAGGGAAGTGGAGCAAGTGCTGCATTCTAGAGGACCTGCCACTGATCAGAGGGGACTCTCCGATGATGAGGACCACTCAGCGTGGCCTGATGCCTGTGAAATTCTTGGAATTGAAAGGATAAGGAAAATACTAATCCAGAGTCCTAAAAAGGGCTGTTCTTTTCTAGCAAGAGTAAGATTGGTGCTACCAGGTCAGTGGGGACAGTAATTCCTCAAAGCAGGTGTCCCCTTCTCCCCACTGGACATTGAGACATGTTTTACGGAAGGGCATAAATGCTCTTAAAGCCATCTTCTTAAAAGGGGGTTTTGCATGTTTTTTTCTTTCAAAGTTTTATTTTTATTAATATACATTTGTAGTACTTAATGATTGCATTCATCTTGGGGAGTTGGTCCATGTACATAACACACCTCAATTCTCTTTAGTTCCCCTCCTCTCCAGGCTGTTTGCTTTCTTGTGCTTGTGTTACATCCCTGGCCTTCAGCTGGAGCGGCCAGGTTATGGGAGGGTGGGGCTCCCCAGGCAGCAGTCTCTGCTAAAGCCCGGCTCCCGCACACCTATCCCCAGACGAATGTGGCCCTCGTGGCTCCCTTGCTGCGGCTGGAGAACAATCACTGCCACATTGAGGAGAGTGAGCACGTGCTGAAGAAGGCTCACAAGTACAGCGAGCTGATAATCCTGTATGAAAAGAAGGGGCTCCATGAGAAAGGTGCCAGGGGAGGGGCTTCTGGGATCTGGGAGGGCCTGGTGTGCTGCCTCGAAACCAGAGGAGAAATGTATCTCCTTTGGGGAGGAGGCTCATGATCTTTCCTGGGCTCTGTGGCCAGCTCTGCAGGTGCTGGTGGACCAGTCCAAGAAAGCAAACTCCCCTCTGAAGGGCCATGAGAGGACAGTGCAGTACCTGCAGCACCTGGGTGAGTGCAGCTGAGATGACTTTGTCCTCACCCCTCTGTTATGCTCACCCCACTTCATTCCTTCTCTTGGCACAAAAATTGCTTGATACCACTTTGGCAGGTGGCCAGCCCAGGAGGGCAAGCAGCCCCAAGTGGCTGGTGCCAGGACAGCACTGTCTCGTCTACAATATGAGCCCTGGGGCCATCTGCACTGCAGACCTCCTGGTCCCATTTGACAAACCCTGTTCTCTCCAGCCCTAACAGGTCTTATTTCCTCTAGGCACAGAAAATCTGCATTTGATTTTTTCCTACTCAGTGTGGGTGCTGAGAGACTTCCCAGAGGATGGCCTGAAGGTGGGCCTCAGGTTTGGTCCTGATTGTCCCTGGGATAGCAGTGGTTGCAGCAGGGGCCCTGGGAGGTTGAGTTCTTGCCGTTCCCTTGGGGCTTGAAAGGGAAGACAGAGACAGTAGAATGAGCTTGCCCTGGGGCTGGGAGACCTGCAGCCCAGCTTCTGTGCTACACAGCCATGGCTGTCCGCTGCACCCTCCCCTCCCATCCTGCCCACCGGATTCCTGTGCCTGCACTCCAGCTCAGTGCCCCCACAGTCAGGCCTGCTGTGAGAACGAGGGTGTGTTCCGACAGATATTTACGGAAGACCTTCCAGAGGTGGAGGCTCTGCCCCGAGATCGAGTGCTTGGCTTCTTAATAGAGAATTTTAAGAGTCTGGCTGTTCCTTATCTGGTAAGATATTTTTTGGTGTGCACTAAAAAGCTTTAAACCCAGGATCCAGGACTGTGTAGTTCAGTTATCAGGCAGTTCTGATGAGGGGTTTGTGTCACTTGGGGCTGGTGGAAATGTAAGGAAAAGGGTGATTTCAACTCTGAAAAAAGAGATCCTAGGAGACAGGTGGAAATGCTACTGTTAATGATACCTTCTGAATCTAGTAAACTACAGAGGGATAAAAGAATACTTTAGAAAAAGTCACATTTATACAGCCAGACTCTGCTGTAGCCACAAGATAATCTAAATAGGTTTTGAATACCAGAATACACACATTTGACCTTAATTACAGGAACTAATGTAAGAGTTTGAGGGGTTGTAGGACAAAATTAAAAGGACTTGAGATTGGAGATTCAACTACACAGTTTCTGGTACTCCCAGGTTGCATTGTGGCATTTCCCTGTGGTTCCAGAAGGACTAGCCCTGATAATCTGGACAATTTCATTAGGGGGTTATGGGGATTGGACCTTTGGGGCTTTGAAAATGGGAGGGAAATGGGAGGCTGGGTCACAGCAGGGAGGGCAGCAGCCCGAAGCCCTGCGTCCCTCCACAGGAGCACATCATCCACATCTGGGAAGAGACGGGCTCTCGATTCCACAACTGCCTGATCCAGCTATACTGTGAGAAGGTGCAGGGGCTGATGAAGGAGTACCTTCTGTCCTGCTCCGCAGGTACCAGTTCCCGCCCAGAGCCAGGGGCTCTGGCCTTGGAGGCAGGACAGAGCCAAGGGCAGTGTGTGTGGGATGGGGGAGCGGGATGCCAGGTGACCCAGCCCCAGCACGTGAGACTCAGGAAGAAGGCGTTATCTGGCTGTGGCCACTTCACAGTCATCCCTGGGGGAGGGCAGAGGGACATCCCTGTCTGTAAGATAACAGCCTTTCTGACAGGAAGCTGGTTGACCAAGAAACTATGAGCTACTGTTTAGGGGCCACAGAGACCATAAAGTAAAATAATTCCACCTGGAAATCCCTGTGGAGCCCTTCTGCTCATGTGGCAGCGCCGAGCCACCTCCCCTCATTTTCTTGGTGACTCCATAGCATCCTTTCACGTTGACTTGTTTCCCTTAAAGGCAAAGCCCCAGTTCCTGCTGGAGAGGAAGGGGGCGAGCTGGGAGAATACCGGCAAAAGCTGCTCATGTTTTTGGAGATTTCCAGTTACTATGATCCAGGACGGCTTATCTGTGATTTTCCTTTTGATGGTGAGTGTCTGGCTTATAGCCAGAAGGCGCTGAGCTCAAGTTACTGCAAAAAGCTGGTCCCCAATTCCTCCTCAGAGGTAGATCTGAGGAAACCAGGTTCTCAGGCTGGCTCCTGTTTTGGCACCTCTGAAGACTCACTTTTGTATCTTGGCTGCGTGAGGTCTCTTTGCTAGGTGTGAACCACCTGCTAATTGATTGATAGCTATGTTGGAACCTGTTTTTTGCTTCAGAACATGTTCTTGGCCATGCTCGTAGGTTAGCAGTCTTTGTATCTGGAATATTCAACTAAAAAAAAAATATGCCTGTCTGATGTATGAGCTCTGAGTGCTGAGGCCAAGGGCTGACTTCCTGGAGCATCTGGCTGGTGTAGACCTTGATGCGTACTTGGCTGTTGTGTGAGTGTTGTTACCATTTATAAGTGATCTTAGAAAGGTGGGATATGTACCTCCTGAAGTAGCTCCCTCAGTCATTTTCTCATATTAACCTTCATTTTATTTTGTTATTTTTGTTACTCTGGTGCTGGGGATTGAGCCCAGGGCCCTGCACATGCTAAGTGTATCTGTGCACTGTGCCTGCACCCTTGCCCCAGTGTCCATTCAGCCACTAGTAGCTAAGTCCCCATCTTGTGCTTGTGTCGTGATGGTGACGAACACTCCTATTCCTTCTTCCTCCTAGGCCTCTTAGAAGAGCGAGCACTCCTACTCGGGCGCATGGGGAAGCACGAGCAAGCTCTTTTCATCTATGTCCATGTTTTGAAGGACACTAGGATGGCAGAGGAGTAAGTCTCCCATTTCTCCAGGTGTCTCCAACAGCCCCAGGGTGCTGAGGAGCACAGCAGGCTCAGATGGTAGCTCCCCACTGTGCTGCAGGCATGCACCCTGGTCTTGGCCGTCTTAGGCTGTTCAGGTGGCCGTGAGGAGTCTCCCATCCTAATGCCGCCCCTCACCTGTGTGCACCACTTTTTCCCTCACAGGTACTGCCACAAGCATTATGACCAAAGCAAAGATTGCAACAAAGATGTGAGTAGTGGCCTTGGCCCAGGGAGCCTGTGTGCCTTCCTGTCCCTTTAGCAGACTTCACTCCATCAGTGTGCCCTTGGATGGCACTGGGCATGGGCAGTACTCTGAGTTTTGCATGTGTTTGAGGGAGAGGCAAGGTGACTTTCTGCCCTGCTTTGCTTGGGGTAGTTCTGGCTTACCTCTGTCGTCATCCACGTGATCATTAACAGCACCCCTGTCCCTTTACTCTTAAGGTTTGTATAACAGGGCCGGGGATTTAGCTCAGTGATTCCGCCGCCTGCCTCTCAAGCGCAAGGTCCGGAGTTTGATCCCCTGTACCAAAACAAAACAAAACAAAACCCACAAAGATTTGTGTAACAGTTTATCTGGGCTGGGTGTGGTAGTGCACATCTGTAATTCTAGTACTCAGGAGGCTGAGACAGGAGAATCACTTCGCATTCAAGGCCAGTCTGAACTACATAGGGAGAAGCAAGACCTTGTCTCCAAATTTTTTTTTTTTTTAGCCAGGCATGGTGATGCACACCTGTAGTCCCAGCACTGGGGAGGCTGAGGAGCACCATGAGTTTGAGGCCAACCTGGACTACATAGTGAGTTCAGGGCCAGCCTGAATTACATAGTGAGACCCTGTCTCAGAAAAAAAAAGCAAAAGCAAATGTGGTCATACATGGTCAGCCAGTTGAGAAGGACCATCTGAGAGGTCTGACCCTGTGTCTAGAATGTGTATCAGTTTGTCAGTGTCTTCAGACATTGGTGATGGTCATGACCTGGGGCAGGGATGCTGCTAGAATCCAGGCAGTAGAGGCCACAGGAGCTACTGAACAATGCACAGGACAGCCCCAACCATGAAGAATTACTCAGCCCCAGACCTTGAGAGCCAAGATGGAGAAATGGAATGGCACTGCTATGGGAGCCAGTAAGAAATGCATCATCCCATCTAGAGTTAATCCCTCCCTGTCAAAAGGTGAACAGGGGCCCAGCACCTGGAAGGAAGCTCCCCCACTGCCATCCCAAGCTCCTTGGGCAGAGAAGCTGAGCTGGTGCCAGCACCTGGAAGGAAGCTCCCCCACTGCCATCCCAAGCTCCTAGGGCAGAGAAGGTGAGCCATGCCAGTGCCAGAAGCACACCCCACCCCC